AAGAGATTTGGAAGTTGAGTGACGAAATATAACACAAGACACACATGTTGTATAACAATCGCTATCATGAAACATACATGACATGACCATATCAGTGGAACTATGGGTGACTGACACTAGGCTTTTCATACCTCATGATACTTTCAAGCTTGCATTGCTTATCTCCTCCCTCTTCTGTCCGCCGCTTCTCGTCCTCCCCGTCCACAACCTCGAAATGACGTTGACTCTTTCCATCCGAATTGGACAGGCCCTCAATCCTGCTTTCTGGCCCCTCTCCGGCGAGACACCGACATCTATACACCCACCAGTCTTCCTCAACCACACAGGAAGGCGTGACCTCTACGACGCCAGCATCAAATATGGCGCTGCAGGTGTCGAAGCAGCGTTCTGGCGATATCGCAAAGAGACCATCTTCTTGTGGTGATGAGGGCGAGGAAGGTTCTGTTGATGAGCATCTGACGAAGAGGAAGGGTGAAGCGAGGTATGTCACCTGCAAGAAGTCAGTTAGCCGGAAATGCCCATGTGAAAAGACCCTGCTTACTGTGGTCTGGGTCGGCTTGCAAAGGCCTGCGCTATCGCTGGCTTCTCTGTAGTCTGATGGTTCATGATCGGCTACATCACTGCACCGACACTCGCTGCTTAGACGGTTGAAGTAGGCGTATTTGTGGGAAGGATCCCTAGAGCACGTTCTCTGTCTGGCGTCAGCGTGTGAGGTTCACGTGCCACTTCGCAGTTGCAGGTATTTACTCACTGTGCAAGCCTTTGTGCTAAAACGCCTGTGTGAAGAAAAGCTATCGCGCGCCAGACGCTGATCATATGTCCCGTCAATGCAGCCGATGAACTGAGCGCTGGTTGGTGGCTGGCTTGGGAAATGTATGACCGTAGTATTGCCGGCGGGCGAGATAATGGGAATGGCGTAGACCCCGAAAGCGCAAGTGGATAGGCCCAGTGAAAGACAGAGCATGCTGCCAGTGTTTTAGTTTTTGGGTTCAATGAGAGATAGCTGACCACGAGAGAGAATTCATGGAGAAGGGCTTTTGTGCGGAACTTATATATCTACTCGACGACCCTCATCGCCACGAGGCAACTCCTTTCGGTTTCTCGTTTCGAAATCCGGTGCAATCGCTGCCCTTCCTTCTGATCGACGACCCTGGTTCTCAGACAAGCGGCCAGAATAAGCATAAACGTACATAGCAATCATCCTCTTCAATCCCAGATGTCAGAGACAAATACAGCCTTCGGGATCTATAATAATAACTGTTGCAGTGGTGTCACGCACGAGGATGAATGCCGGCAGGCGGATTGGGCGCGGTTGACGAGCAGCCTCCCGAAAAGCTATGTCGACAACTTGCTGCTGTCTTCTCTGAAATCCGGAACGTCTATGAAACTGCACTGCTCGTATTCCTTCATGCTTGCAGCGGCGCTGCCATGTATGGCATGGCACATCATTGGCGAAGGGACCGGTGCCAGCAGTTTGAACGTAGTCTCAGCAGAATTCATGAGTGTGTACACATACATAGGTGCCATAGACAGGGCTCTGCACAAAAGTCTCGCCATGATTGGAGATTAGTCTGTTTCTATAATCGTTACCTTCGTTCCGTGTTTGTTGAGGATATATACAACTCTTCCTTGTTTACACTTCTACACCTGTACTCGGCTCTCCACCCTCTGCACCTTCTCCACTCTAATATTGACAAACAGGTTTGCAAACACAAACCTCGACAACAGACTATCATACAACGGTAGATGATGGTACCCCCTCGGCGCCAGGCCAACTGGCCTCATCCACTGCGCCTGAAGCGACTTATTTTTGACCTCGAGATGCAGAAAGTTGAGCATGAGGAGGGAGGGCTTGGTGGTCAACTCGAAACGAAGCGTATCGTCCCAGGTGGGATTGAGCGTGACGCTGGAGAGAGACTTGGTGCGCCTAGCCACGGTGCCATTGAGCGTCGCCTCGACGTATAGATCGGGCGCCAAAGGTATCCGCTGACCCGAGATGACCTCGATGGTCAAATGGTATCTTTCCGGTTGCTCGTCGATCTTTTCACGAAGAGCAAGGGGCTTGAGGATGTAACCATTGCTTCCGTGAAACATGGCATGGTTGAGCAAGGTAGACTCGTCCAGCGTTTGCCAGTTCAAAGCCACAAGCTGACACCCCGCCGACCAAGCGTCCACCGGATCATAATTCCCCGAGTCTAGCCTTGTCGCCTTTGGGTAGACCCTTGAGATATGCCGCATATTATGCTTCACCCAAGCCCCCTTGTCCTCCTTGATGATCTTGGCCGCCGTCTTCTCCGAAACAGAGAATTGGTGAGAAGGGAGGTACTCGTTGAGCTTGGAGAATCCTTGGTACTTGACGCCCTGGGTGTACACGAGGAGCTCGGCGAGCTGAGGGGAGAAGGTATCGGGGCGCTCGGCCTTGCCTTGAATGGAGAGACGACGGGCGAGGCGAACGAAGCCAGAATCTGAATCGGTCGAGGAAGGCGATTCGGCTGGGGGAGCCGCGAGTTGGAAGGTCTCGATCCGCGGGGATTTAAGTTCTTTAGGCGGCTTAGCCTGTCACGAGGGTTAGCAAAGAGCTGTGACTGTCATCAAAGAGACGTCGTACCTTGAACAAAATTTTCCCCTTCAGCTGCTCCGGACTCGGCAGCTCTGTGAACCCCTGGGCCAACGGCGTAGTGACCAGCCGTTCTCCGAATACCTCTTTCAGAATCTGAGCCAGCCTTGTCTGCTGTTCATACGTGCAGTGAATCTCGGCGGAGATGATGACCGGGTAAGGAGAGGCGACGAAGCCGTACGCCATGATAGCACGGCAGATGTCGCGAACGGAGACACTGGAAGTGAGAGTCTTGCGGTGGTAGACGACCGGCTCAAAGTCTCCCGTCTGAACATCCACTGCAGTCTGTCAGCATCCATGCAAGCGGGCCCAAAGTGACTTACTCTCTACACATCGACATCCAGCTAGCAGCACTCTTATATACCCCTCCACGGTGCTTTCTCCCTTCCACTGGTCCCCCACGAGGTACGTGTTGTGCGAGCTCGAGATGAAGTAATGCTGCAGCGGGTGCGTCATATCCTGAGGTATGTTCGGCGTGTTATCCGCCGATGACAAGAACGACGTCAAGGCCTCGAGATTCCAAACACCCTCATCTGTCTTGTACTTTTCAAAGATTGCGGGGATGGTATCGACGGGGAAGCGTTGTACGTCACGGAGAAAGGTCTGAACGCGATCGAGATCGAGAGGGCCTTCCGATGAAAGCGAGGTGAAGAGTCGTTGGATGTCAGGACGGGTTTGGCTGGCTTTGATAAGCTTGTGGAAGGCGGCCAGATCAAACGTCTCCTGTGGAATCATCAGCAATATACGAGTGATAAATGACAGCGAACATACTTCGCTCGATTCTCCGAGTTTCTGATTGATCTGCAGTCCGATCTGCGCGCAGAGCGCTTCGGCCTTGGCCTTGTTGATCGCCCTCGTACCCAACGGCCATAGCTGCCTGATCCAGATCATATCCGGGTCTGACGGGGTCACGTCTGACACTTGACGGTCTAGCGTTATGGATACAAGCTCTTTGAGAGCCTTGACCCACAAGCTGTACGTCTCGTCCGTGAGGGCAATCATGTGGAGGACCTTCCACTGCTGCTCGCGGACGTATACGACAGTAATCCAGCGAGTGCTGTTGTACGTATCAGTCGGGGGCTGGCCGAGGCGAAGATCACGAATGTCGTTGATAGGGACTGGAATGTGCAACAGGAGAAAGAGAAGAAACACGTGCTACCAGTCAGCCCTAGCCTCTCTACGAGGGGAACCGCTACCAACCACGACTGTCTTTCTTGGACGACCACAGTATACATCCATTTCTGATCTTAAAGATTACTTGTTTGATCTTTCGCGAAGAGATCTTGAGCATAGGGACACCCTGTGCTAATTGTGGCGGGATGACACTGGGGTCGGATTCCATTTCGAGGGCACTGGAGGGTGTGGCGGGTGACATGATGTTTGGTAGGGTGAGGCGGCGGCGGCGGGGCGAGGGTATCGTTCCGAAAATCTTGAGGGTATCAATCTTGAGGGTATCTGGCGCAAACAAGATGGATTGTTGTATCGTAGCCGGGTTTATCGTAATGGGGCGTTCTGTGGATATTGCGTCAGCTCGAATTCATCGTGATGATTTACACCAAACAAAGAAGACAAAAAGAGTCCTCATCCATGTAAGAATACATATTGACTTCAGCCCCATAAGGGTCAGTCTTAGCATGGAAAATTTTCTTAATCATTGGACTCGTTGCCCCAAGCAGCAGGGGCGATAAGAAGTATAATGGTTCTGGCACTTACGCATTGCACGTTGCTCCTTGCCAAGAGAATGGATTGGACGTGCAGCACAGCAGAACGCGATGGATGATATGAAAAAGCAGGCTTACATTCTGATCTAGTTACTCTCTTTGACCTATGGAAAGTCCATTGTTCTGTGGTCGACCTGTCGATGTGGCTATCAAACGAAGGCTTCATTAGCATCTGCGTCATGCGTTCTATTGCCGAGACCGGAACGGAAGATGTTTATAGAAGAAAGGTTGATAGAAGTGGCTCAGCACGCAACATTTGGCTTGTGCAATGGTCAATCTGCAGGGCGTCCCCCACGCATGGGATAGAGGCCAGTAAGACTGGGGCGACATAATGATCGTCATAGCCGGGGAAAAGAAGAAGACGGAGAAGACGGCGGAGGTAAAAGGAGGTGATACTCACAAGAGGCTGCGGGAAACTGGAGAGCGGCGAAAAGAGACGAGCTAGAAACTATATACCATATGGAAAGCGGTGTCGAGATGCAAAAGAGAAACGCCAGGGAACAATTTGTTGGCTGCCTCGCATCAAGGGCGTGTACTTTCTATGCCACGTCAGTAAGCATTACGTAACTCGGCGCTTCGGTGCGCCGCGCGGCCGCGGGACCAAACTAGCACGGGAACGATAACCGGCTCCCCAATCACAAGGATCGTCCGTGCGCATATCTCAAAAAAGTTAATCTACTGCAGAAACATCACTCAACGTCTCTCGTCAGCAAAAAACGACCTCGCAACGATCTGCCTCGGTCTCAGCATCTCCCACACGAGCGGCCATCCTTCCCTTCATCAAACAGCGCCTCTGTTCAGAAAGTCGAGCCCACGCCCTCTCACATTTGTCAGCACCTCTCGTACGACCACTCCTTGCGGCTCAATCAGAAGATACTCCTCTCAGAGATTCAAGAAGACTTCGCTGTACTCGGGACTAGCGTGCGTGCCGAATCAATTGCAAGCACGCTAGTACAGAAGATCTCAAGATCCAACCATGCCAGCTAAATCGCCTATGCCCGACATCTCTATCCCCCAAGCGAGACGCATCGTGGTAGATACCACAGGGGCACAGATCGTCCAGGAAGAATCACCAGCAGTGAGTCTTCTTTCCTTCTTTGTGTGGTATGACGCGGTCGGTTGATGAACATCCTAGACCAGAGACTCTCGGGGGATCTACCTGCCTCATTATACGGAGCCCGTGTCGCATATTGCTATCGACGTAAGTGGCTTTTGTTACCAAATCAAGCTCTTCTTATATCTTGCAGATCGGTGGATCGCTCGCCAAAGTCGTCTACTTTACCCGTTCGAATCAGCCCCTCTCAACCTCCCCACCCTCATCCGGCACAACCTCCCCATTCCTTCCCCCTTCTCAATCCGTAGCCCAGCCGGCTCCATTCGTCAATGGGGAAGGCTCCAGCCACTCCCCAACCGACTCTCCTGCTCTCAGTCCCCAAACACATGCCTCCTTCGATCCATCGCCGCCCGAGCAGCGACGACCCACTCTAAACGGTGCTCTGACGCCTGCTACACTCGCAGAAAATGACGGCAAAATCGCTCTACCGAATAGCAAGCGGAAGGCTCGCAAAGCCCACGAGCGCCACTCCTCCACGGCGCCCCTCCCCGGCGGTCTCTTGAACTTTGCCAGGTTCGAGACCGAAAACATTGAAGAGCTCATCACTTTTCTGCAAGAGCTGATATCGTCTTCGGCAACTGCCAACAGGGTATCGCTGGAAAAGATGAAGCAGAATGTAAAGGTCATGGCGACAGGAGGAGGAGCGCACATGTACCATGATGTGCTTACCGAGCAACTGGGGGTGGAAGTGCATCGGGAAGAAGAGATGGAGTGTTTGATCCGAGGGCTGGGCTTTGTTACTAGAGTTCCGGAAGAAGTGTTCTGGTTCTCCGAGGAACTCGTATACAAAGTCTCCCACCTCAGTACCAACGCCGACAACGAAGTAGAAACCACCGAATCCCTCACTATTCCTCCATCTGAACTTCCTAGACCATCACCCACACCACCAGCGTACCAAGTCACTTTTGCGCCCACGCCGGCAGAGGATGACCCTATGCCTCACTTCCCGTGTCTGATGGTTAACATTGGAAGTGGAGTGAGTATAGTCAAGGTGGATGAGGATGGGAAACTTGAGCGAGTCAGCGGAACGTCCCTGGGTGGAGGCACGCTGTGGGGCCTGCTGAGTCTTTTGACAGACGCAGACAGCTTTGACGGCAAGTCTCATTCTATGCTGTTTCCCAAATGAAGCTGACTGTTCGTAGAAATGCTCATGCTCTCCGAGAAGGGCGACAACTCTGCTGTCGACATGCTGGTTGGGGACATTTACGGGCAAGACGCCAACATCTTTGGACTGAAGTCATCCACTATCGCTTCCACTTTCGGCAAAGTGTTCAAGAAGGGATCGAATGCGGACCGGAAGAAGAGGTTCAAGCCGGAGGATATTGCAAAGAGCTTGTTGTATGCCATCAGTAACAACATTGGGCATGTTGCGTGAGTATCTTTCTCACTAGACGGGCTTATGGGAGCAATGCTGATCATTCACAGGTACATGAACGCTGCCAAATATGGGCTCGACAAGGTCTTCTTTGGCGGGTGCTTCATTCGAGGTAAATCCTTCTCGTACTCCAAAACGTGACATGCTGACAAGGCTGTAGGCCACGCTGCTACAATTTCCACACTTTCCTATGCTATTCGATTCTGGAGCAAGGGTACCATGACGGCTTGCTTCTTGCGGCACGAGGGCTTCCTGTGAGTCGTTTGTCCCTTCCTGATCCCACAACAGGCTGACGATCGTTCCAGCGGCGCGATAGGGGCATGGATAAAGAACGTTGGTGAGACGGACGAACGTGGCAGCCCGGTGTCCCGCGTGAGAGAAAGGAGCAATTCTACGGATGGGCTGGATGCGAAGACCAATGGGATCGCACTGGGGGCCAAAGGAGAGGAATAGCAGGTCTAGGCATGGAAGATCTGGAGTAGAGGTCTGTAAGTGCCGTAGTACTGTACGAGTAATCCGCATTACGGCATGAACATCGTCTGCATTGAGTGTTTATTGTACGCCATTACAGAAGCATGACAATGGACGAAATGCCACATAAAGCATACTGATTGTGACTACATTAGATGCAGAAACACGTTCCACCAGCGGTGGTTACCGAGCTGGGGCGGTCGCCAGCTGGTCGTCAGGAGGTCGTCACTAGGTCTGGTACATCTCTCGGTTTTCTCGTCACTCTCAGCAAGGTCTATTCAGGACCCTGCCACCCCTCTCCCTGATCGCCGTTCACTGTCGGCTCCAGATTCTCAGTTACGAGGGTCGCTCTCTGGACAACATGGCGGCCGCTTCTACGTATCAGGGCCCATCTTCCTCTCGAAGATGGCGTGGATCCCCTCAATTACGTGCCTCCCCACTCCCATGTTTTCCCTCCGGCGTTCTCCCAGCGCACGGGGAATGTCATCCCTCAGATATTCGGTGGCTACGATGACACATTGAGCCATCCGGAAGCATCAAAATACTACGTGCTCCTCACTACTGTGGTTGTGACAGTCGACGTGCGGACTTCGACAAGGAGATGCTGGGTGTGTGGAGGATGGTAGGCGAGGATTTGAAGGGACATGATGGGACGTTGAGACGTTGAGGGCCTATAGAAGGGTATCGAATCAGTGGGCATTGGTGGTCGGCGTGAGCGGAAGCTTACGAGAGAGTCCGGGTTTGGAAGATTGGCAGAAGAGTTCATTTATGAAGATATACGAGGCCCGTATCAACGGTCTCATGTGTATGGAGAGTAGAAGTATTATGAAGGGTACGAGTACTGTACTCGTATATATTCACAAGTCGGCTTATAAGGTCTCATGTATAGCATCGTTGGTGGATCTCAGTGTTTAAAGCCACGCACCAATCCAGGACGGACTGCGTTGAACATTGTCCACCAAAAAGTGTGTCACGAGCCCATTTGAAATGCATATCTGCAACCCTCTACCATTCTTCACAAAACTTCCTCTAAGCCGCCCGATATCTAGAAGATGATGACGTTCTGGTCACGGCCAGGGCCGACACCAACGTACTGGGTCTTGACACCAAGGTACTCGTCGATGAAGGCAATGTACTTCTTGGCGTTCTCGGGGAAGTCCTCGTACTTCTTGACGCTGGAGATGTCGGTCTTCCAACCGGGGAGGGTGGTGTACTGGACCTCGACTTGAGCGAGTCGGTCAAGGTCGGCTATGTTATAGTCAGCAGAGACTCGCACCTGGTTGAGATAAGAGACGTACCAGGGAAGCCCTCGATCTCGACACCGTCAATCTTGTAGCCAGTAGCAACCTTGATCTCGTCAAAGCCGTCAAGCACATCAAGCTTGGTGAGGTTCAAGCTGGTGTAGCCGTTGATCAAAGTGGAGTACTTCATGACGACCAAGTCCAACCAACCACATCGCCTTCTCCTGCCGGTAACGGTACCGTACTCGGCACCAACCTCCTGCAAAGTCTCTCCGACAGAGTTCAATTGTTCAGTAGGGAAGGGACCACCACCGACACGGGTAGTGTAGGCCTTGATAACACCGACGACCTTCTTGACAGCGAAGGGAGGGATACCGAGACCAGAGATGACACCACCGATGGAAGTGGAAGAGGAGGTGACAAAGGGGTAGGTTCCGTAGTCGAGGTCCAACATGAGGGCGTTGGCGCCTTCGACGAGGATTCGCTTGCCAGAGCTGATGGCCTTGTGCATGTAAGTGGGGCCATCGACAATGAGAGGTCGGAGACGCTCGGCGAAAGCCAAGTAAGCCTCGATCTCGCCCTCAGTGTCAAACTCGAAGTGGCCGTATCGCTTGAACCTGCCGTCGACAAGCTTCCTGAACTTGGCAGGGAAGGTGGGGTCGAAGAGGTGGTGCACACGAAGACCGGATCGAGAGGCCTTGGAAGAGTAGGCGGGTCCGATACCCTTTCGGGTGGTGCCGATGGATGAGCCACCGAGCTCGACTTCCTTGAGGCCGTCGACGATCTGGTGGAAACCCATGACGAGGTGGGCTCGGTCAGAGACAAAGAGCCGGCCGGCAACCTTGAGACCTGCTGGTTGTCAAGACACGTTGTCTGGCTCAGGGAGGAGATACGTACCCTTTCGCTCAAGAGTGTCGAGCTCGTTGAAAAGAGAGGGGAGGTGGACAACGACACCGGAACCGATGTAGGCGGTACAGGTGGGGTTGATCAAACCTGTATCATGTCAGCCACGATCAAAGAATCGTTATCGGGCAACGCACCACTGGGCAAAAGGTTGAAGGCGTAGCTGGTCTTCTCGCCCTTGTCATTCCTGACGACGATGGTGTGACCAGCATTGTTACCACCGGCACATCGAGCACAGATGTCGGCTTCAGCAGCGAGAATATCGACGAGCTTGCCCTTCCCTTCGTCACCCCACTGGGCTCCTAGACTGTTGGTGGTTAGTCGAGCCAAGACAAACACTTGGAATGAAAACGCACACGACAGAGACTCCCTCCGGGGCTGTGGGCTGTCAGCGTGGATACGATATGGCCTGGGTTGACCTACATGGAGCCATCTTTGTAGTAGAGTTTGTTTGTAGTAGGACCTCGAGAGGTAATCGAGGAAATGGATTGGGCGAGTCGAAAAGAAAACCCCAGCGGCAGCATCCGGCGCCCTGATCTGGGGCCTTTCAGGGCGTAATTATCGAACAGCCGATTAATAACACGTCACGCCTCCACTTTCACTCTCCGCACCCACAATGACATTCCGGGCGAACGTGTAGCGAGATTCACTTTAATCGTAGACAGTAGACCGTAGAGGAGAGCCACATGGTCATACCCAGCCTGCTACTCCAGCATCTGCCTCTTCGGGGGCTCAAATCCCTGCCTCGCTCGCCCAGGGCTTGGTCTCAGCACATCCGAAATGTCCACCGATTGAGAGATCTGCCCCGTCCGACCGAAGCTCAGCTGGCAAGGTAAACTTTCGCCGAGATGCCTATTGCAAGCTAACATATCGCTCTACAGGAAGCCTAGGTTGGTGCCCTTCGAGCCCTCAGAAGCCGAGTCGTCCGCTATGGCTGAAGCGCGCTTCACGCCTCCTTCGTCAGTCCATTCGAGGTAATGCGTGAAATGCAGCTTACGGTATTTTACAGCCATCAAATGTCGAAATGGACATCACAGCCGGATACTGTTCTGCTTATTCAAAAGAAAGATGACCCTCGTACCACTGCTGCGATGGGAGAAATGCTCCAGTAGGTCAAACCATGCCAGGTCTAGCAAGGACGTATCTGTACCAAGACATGCTGACGTTGTTATAGCTTTATACGAGACAACTTTCCCCATCTCCGCTTGATTGTCGAGCCCCATACTGCTCATGACCATCCCTCTTTCGACAACCTCATCGTTGCATCTGAAGAAGAGCAACCCTTGCTCCCTCTTCACACGTCTCTCGTGGTCACTTTAGGAGGAGATGGTACGATACTGCATGTCTCAAATCTTTTCTCGCAAGGAGAATGTCCGCCTGTATTGAGTTTCTCAATGGGATCCCTGGGCTTCTTGCTGCCATTCCGTAAGTCGCCGCCATTCTGCTCTCATGATCACCACTCATGCGAGATATAGATATCGATTCTCTCGCCTCTGCTCTTGAAAACACTTTGACAGGCCCCGTATCGCTGCTCAATCGAATGCGGCTAGCTTGCAAACCACTGGACGTTGAAGGGAATCTCTTGAGTCGTTGTACCAAAGCTGGTGAGCATTTTTTGTGTTTTCCAAATGACCACTCTGATCAAGCGATCAGTGGGAGAGAACGGGTGGCAAGTCATGAACGAGGTCGCCCTCCACCGTGGCCGACACGCCCACCTCACCGTGGTCGATACCTACTTTGACCGACAACATCTGACTGAAGCTGTCGTAAGTCCTCTCGTCTCCACGTACCTGTTCCCTTGTTGAATCTTGATCGTAGGCCGACGGAATCCTCCTGTCAACTCCTACAGGATCCACCGCCTACTCTCTCTCCGCCGGCGGGCCCATCTCTCATCCCGAAACAGATGCTTTCCTCCTCACCCCTATTGCTCCCCGCTCGCTCAGTTTTCGTACTGTCATTCTCCCCGGGCGGGGAGAAGTCAAGCTCGAGGTAAGTGCCCTCTCCTTTCCTTTCCTGCTCATGCTGACCCGCGATCTGCAATCAGATTTCACCCCTCGCCCGCGCAGCAGCAGAACTATCAATAGACGGCCGAGATGTCTGCAACCTGACCTCTAAAGAATCTGTAGTCATCACAAAGTCGCCCTTCCCCATACCCTGCGTAGAAAGGTCGGGAGGAGAAAGCGGATGGGTCAAGGATATCAAGTGAGTTGAATCTAGACTGATTGACAAGAAAAGCTGATGGCGGTGCATAGTTCGTTGCTACAATTCAATGTGGGGTTTAGGAATAAGAGTCTGATGGGGCACAGCTCATAGAGTGTGATGGGATCCAGACATGCGTCTATGACAACAAGGTTCTTGCAGCTTAATCCAACCGTAATCGCGCCGGACTGCAGCCTGAATTTCGTTGGTCCTGGTTTGATTGCATACATCTAAAAGTCCATCATTGGTCTACACGATTTTGAATACCCAAAAGCTGACATATATACAACTCGATCACTTTAGCTCGTAGCCCGCGCCGGTCGGTCTAACCATCGCTTTTGTAGTGTTATCCCTGCACCTCTTCAAGAACTTGAACAACGCCGTCCCGCCAGTCCCTCTCAGTTCTCCCGTGTCTACCTCTATCTTCTCTTCCTCAGGCTCTTCCACACCCAACAACGCCCTGACCCTTTCTCCCGGCTGTCGTCTCGCCTGCTGCACGATAAACTTGCTGACAACCCTCATGTGCCTCTCCCTAAAGCGCCTCAGCGCCTCGAGGGTCCCATCGTAGGCCTCTGCCAGAGCAGGGTGCGACTGGGCGCAGTGGATGACGAGGGGCCGGAGCGGCGTTGGGTGAGTGGAGAGGTGGATGAGGAAAGAGCGGTGAGGGAGGGGCATATAGGCAAGCATGCGCTGGAGGAACGTGGCTTCTGATTTAGGCTTGTTGAGCGCATGCGCGGGAGCCTGCTCCTCGGTAGCGCCGACGGGCGTACTGTCCATCTGGATACTCGCCCCACTCTCCTCCGGCCTGTTCTCCGCCGCCTCCATCGCTTCCCGGCGCTCTTCCTCTGTCGGCGAGTGGTCGACTAGCAGGAATACGTCGATAGCGTGGATGAGCGACGACTGCCCGGCACTCGGACCGGAAAAGAGCTTGCCGCGTTGGCCTCGGGTGCTTGCGCTCTCGGCCTCGTGCGTGCTAGACTCGGCTTCACCAGAGGCAAGGCCAAGATAGTCCCATCCAGCACTCCCAGGCCCGTCGCCATCGCCACCGCGGAACCATGGCCGAATCAAGTGGTAGAAGTCTTCCGGATCGACCTCCTTCATGAGGGTCATGGTGACGTCCCCTATACGGTCGATCTGAGCTGCGAGCTTGCGAAGGTAGACTGTCAGTCTCCTGATAGCAGTCGCATCTGCAACGAACAGTTCGTCGAGGGATCGACGCATCAGACCAAGAGCCTCGGCACCTGCAATCTCGCATAGTGACGAGATGAGGTAGAACTGCTCTTCGGAACGGGTGTTGGTGAATGTGGTGATGATATCACGGGGTGGGTTCCCTGGTAACGACGACTGAACAGCAGGGTTGAGGGAAAGAAAGTTCCACAGTACCGTGTCGGCATAAGTGAGGATGGGCGGCAGGCCGAGCATGGGGGAGATCTCGAGGAGAGGGACAGAGATGCTCGCCGGGATGGGGACCGGCTCCTTGGGCTCGGCAGTGGACGGGGGAGAGGTGTGGGCGAAAAAGTGTGCGAGAAAGGTGAGGACGACGTGGGCCCTGCGGAGATGGGGCAGCGATGCACAGAGATCACTCGTGGGCAACACCGGTAGCTGATGTTTAATCAGCAGATGGTCGTGTGCCAATCCTTTGAAACTTACAGAAGCCACACCAGCTCGCCATAGCTGGTCCTTCTCTCTCCTGCCGCCGACTTGCAGCCCATCGCCAACGCCGCTGCCTCGAGCAGCATCCAGCGCTTCCTCCCACATCTCATAGTAGCCCGACAGCCTCGCCACATTCTTGCTCGGTGGCAAGAATCCTGTGCGGACATCGACATCGAAATCGGCAGAAGCAAGGGAGGCAGTGTTGGGGGCAAGGCCATTGGAGGCTGCCGAGGCGGTGGACGGTGCGCCGGAGGGGAACTCGTAGTTGCCCTGGTTGAAGGAGGGGGCGAGGGCGAGGAAGTGGTCGGGAGGGAGCTGGGCGTGGTGGGCAGGGGGCGGGGAGGGGGTGCGTTTTGGCAACATGTTGGGGGTGGGAGGGGCTGCAAGGGGTTACCCTTGTAGATATATACAAAACGGTGATTCTGGGGGATACAACGGTCGCTCGGAAGTGTCTGCGAGCGATTTTTCACCAAGAGACCGGTCGTTCTCGGATCGATCACGCGGGACCTTTCGGTAAACACCGGGATCAAATCACGCCTTCATCCAGCTGCCACATTCCGGCTCAACGTCAGGCTATCATACAACCGAAGTCACACAGATATTGGCAGACTGGCTCCGTGTGATCTACAAGATGTACATACCGAATACAAGTACAATGATTACAGCTGCAATGGCCCAAGCTACCTCTTTTCCTTCCTCGGATCCATCGGCGCCATGGCCATCATCCCCATCACCACCAACTTGAACCCCAACGCTATCACCACCACGATCCAGCTCGCCGTGTACTTGTGCATCACCGCCCCAATAAAACTCCCCGCAATCATCGCAAACACATACCCCAACCTCCTATTCCTCGCCCCGGCCTTTTCATGCGTAAAGCCATAGAAGAGATACTTGTCGCTCACGAGATCGACATAGGACGAAGTCATCGGCGCCGTCGGGATTTCTGCGACGGAGGCTTGGCGGGCAGCGGCGACTTGGGCGCCAGACATGGCTGCAAAGAGCATGATGATGCACCATTCGTGTTTGGAGCCGAGGCGGGCGAGGGGAGGACCGGAAGGGGAGAGAAAGATGCCGGCGAGGATGAGGCAGACGATTTGGAACAAGACGTTGGCGAGGAGCCATGCTCTCCGGCGAAGGCCTATATCTAGTCAGCCAGTAATTTTGACAGTCAATGCGAGACTTACCAAACAGATGACCAAGGTGGCCGAACACGAGAGCGCCGCCCAAGAAACTCGCCAGAGATACACCAGTCAACAACAGCTGATGGCGGGATAATCTGACGATTGCGACTGTCAACAGGATAGTGTTTCCTGTCTGATTCGACGCAAACGTGTTGAAATCCAGCGTCGTAGTGGCATCAAGTAGCCTACCACCCCCGTCAGCCCCATACAATGAAGAGACAAAGAACGTACCCAGTAGAGAAAGCCTGGAAGATCAAACTCCAAACCAACGAGTCCGCCGTCACCGTATCCCCCATCCACCCCGCCCACCCATCACGTCTCTTCCACGGCAGCACGACCACATGCGCGTCCGTATCAGGTATATCCACATTCTTCTCAACCCTGTCTACTCTCCTGCGCTCTGCGTCTCTTGACGCGTCGTCCGAGTCGTCTTGCTGCCGCCTAGAGGGGCGTCCAAGCTCTATATCTTGGTAGCGCGCGAGAGGCTTGTCGTCGGTCATTGTAGGAGGTGATGTTGGTTCTTTGGAACGAGGTTGTTGAGGCATAGCATCTGATATGAGATGTGTCGTCGATGTAGGGGCCGAAGATAACGCAGATATGGGGTCCATCGGTAGCCTCTTTGTCCTTTGGGTTGTGTGTAGGCTGGAGCGTGGCGATAAGAGATTTGCTTTGATAAAGTAGAGATGTTATAGAAGAGTCGAACCCAAGACTAGTCAAAATTTATAAACCCCTGCAAATCATTCGTCGAGCAGAACCCAACACGAATACCCTTCTGCATTCGTTGCCACCCGAAGTACTTGCAGGGGATCTCGAAGCATGCCGGACGTCATTCCAGTTGAATCTTGATTCCAAATCCATCGATAACGAAGGGCCAAGCTAGACGGGATCAAATTGTTTTGGAATAGGCTTTACGTAAACGTCGACGCGACGCGCCTGGGACCATCGCCGTAATGTCGATGTTGCTGAACAATCACTACAGTATGTCCACGCCAACTCCCAGAGGAGCATTCATCGTGTTTGAAGGTCTTGATAGATGTGGCAAGTCTACGCAAGTCGATCGGCTGGTAGGACAGCTGGAGAAGCAGGGGCGCAAGGCGAGATTACAAAAGTTCCCCGGTACGCTCATCCTCTACAAGCATCAATCGATATCTAAACATGGCGTAGATAGGACGACCCAAATAGGCAAGATGATCGATGCCTATCTGCAATCAAAAGCAGAGATGGACGACCATGCGATCCATCTGCTCTTCTCTGCTAACCGCTGGGAATGCGCGTGAGTAACCCAAGCTGCAAGACACTTGCAGTCGCTGATAGGCGCTTCAGAGAGGGTATCAAGAGAGACCTTGCTGCTGGGATCACTGTGATTGCTGATCGATACGCGTTCTCTGGGATCGCCTTTTCGGCCGCCAAGGTCAGTCACTCGAGACATACATCCCAAGTCTAGACTGACATCATGCTAGGGCCTCCCGTTCGACTTTTGTCTTCATCCCGACACCGCCTTGCCCCTCCCCGACCTCACACTCTACTTGACGCTCCCACCGGCGTCCGCAGCCCAACGCTCCGCCTTCGGGACGGAGCGCTACGAGACGGTGGCGATCCAGCAGGCCGTGCGCGAGCAATTCAAGCTGGTGCAGGAGCAGGTGGTGCAGCGGCACGGGGAGGAGCGGTGGGTAGAGGTGAATGCAGAGGGGACGATAGAGGAGGTGGGGGAGAGGATAGGGGTGCTTGTGGCGGGGGTGGCCGCTGGGCGGGAGGGAGATGTGGGGCAGCTGTGGGTGTAGCATATGCATATCACTATCTGATAGTACTCATACGCTTCTTGGCGTGTCGCACCTGGGGCAGATATGATGTAAGAGCGGCCATCGCGGCCAGAGGCCGAGGAGTAAAAATGTTGACGACCTCCGAGAGGCACGCCGGGTGCGTCTAACCGTGGCCTGCATCATCGCCTCTTTCTTCTTCTCCATACTCATATTTATTTTATATCTCCCCGTTGCCACTCCATCCACATTCACACCATGTCCGCCAACTCAATATCCACCCCCGTCCAGCTCGCCCCCACCATCACCGCCACCACCCCCACCGGTCAGACCAGCCACCTCGACGTCGAAGAAGAAGTACGTCCTGCCGCCCATAAAAAGTCCGCCATGATCACTTTCTCACCCACGTGCTTTGCCTCCTCTAGCTCTCCTTCTACTTTTCCTACCACGCCAACAGGATCAACCAGGCCATCCACTTTTTCTGCATCCCCCAGATCCTTTGGTGCGTGGGAATCAGCTCGATGGATCCTCCCATGGATCCTTTACGAGAGAATTTTCTGGCTAACATAAGCCCATCCAGGACCTGGCTCATCGTTGCCGCTCACGTCACCCTCCCGGGTGCCAAAGTATACCTCTTCGCCGACTACTTTGCCTTCCAGCTCAACCTCGCGCTGGCCTTTATCACGTCCTACAATGCCTACTACATTCTGCTGGATCCCATCGGCGGTGTGAGTCTCACCCACCTCCATCCATGCCTCTAGCTGACATGTGGACAGGTCACATACCTCCCAATTTCCATCATAATGTACATTTCAGCCACCTTTCTCGCCACGTCTCCTCCGTCCACCCTGCCGTTCACGGACCCCGCGGCGCCGTCTGCCATCCCCCTGGCGCTGCTCGTGCACGCCGGTGCGTGGGTGGCACAGTTCATCGGGCATGGCGTGTTTGAGAGGAGGGCGCCGGCGCTGTTTGACAACCTCGTTCAGGGTGAGTACTCGTCTTGTGCATAGGTGGGTATGTGAACTGACCGAACTGGTGATAGCACTTGTCTTGGCGCCGTTCTTTGTCCACCTGGAAGCGTTGTTTGGCATCTTTGACTGTACGTACAACCGTCTACTCGCCGCAAGAACCGAGCTGACATTTTGGCGCAGACAAGCCAGACATGCACAGGAAGATCAAGGCCAAGGCGGGTGTCAAGATCCGCAACATGAACCGGACTCGAGCAGCCTCGCGAGCTGAAAAAGCTGAAAAGGCGAGCGAGAAGAGTCCGTTGTTGTAGCGTGTCTGAGCCGGGCGGAGATGGGAGGTGCAGTGCAATCGTGGGAGAGAGGCGATCTATGTATCGGGATTTTGTATAACTAATGTATAGATCTAGTGCTGTATACCTTATAGCTGCGTATGTATATGGTCTAGTCATGATGGCAGATTATACAGTATACATTGACGCGATACACAAGTCTACAATTGACCTAGAGCTGAGAAGAGCAGAGAACCTGAAGAAAGAGTCAGCGCGTCCCACCAAACTCGATTTCATCCTCCACAAAACAATCCAGCAAACCCAGTAAAATCCCTCAGTGTAACTATGAACTAGGGTCCCTCATCACCCGAACGACCCCGACCACCCTCTCCGAGCTCCCAAGACGGAAGACATCGGAGCGGCCGAAGGAGTCTGGAGAAGATCGTGTCTTTTCCCGAGCATGGAACAAATGGGATAAGTTGTCGTCTTGGGGAGGGTGCTGGATGTTTTGTGAGAAGAGGAGAGGAAAGGGACTCACGTAATGGTGTACAGTTGGGGTTTTGAGGAATGATGAGAGAAGTGACAGATGGGATGGAATTTCGGCCAACTGTCTCCTTGCGCTTGCGCACAAATTCAATAAAATGCGTGCGATATATATTCCAGAGAGATCGGGACAACCTCAAAGTGTTTCGGGCCTGGGATTTCAGTTTTGGTGAGTCAGTCAACGCAGTCTCGTCTCGCCTTTTTTCCTGTATATCTTGGGTGGCGCATTATGCGAGACAGCGGATGTCAGAGGGTCATGGCCCATCGCGCCAATCGTTTTGAGCTTGAGGTTTTGGAGGCCCGAGAGGGAGAGTGGAATATGGAACATGGATGACGATGGGGTGCTCCTGTTTCCTCGGGCGTTTCGTCACCAGTACACTGCCAAAGTCTCAACGGACAAGGTTTCTGAAACACAATATTTATGGCTAAAGCGGCCTGCAGATACGGACCTCTCTTCCATACATCGTCGAGATCTCCATCAAGCGGGTCGCAGCTCCGATATGCACGGTGATACCACCCGACAGGCATATGGGTTATGGCACACAGGATGCTTTCCCTGCCAGATTAAGCGCCATGCGCGCCATAGTTATGGATAAGCACTGAGGCCACTGACCGAAGTGGTCGTCGTGTTTGTTGACTGACAACTGATCGTAGCATTCGGCCCATCTAGACATTCCGACCGAGCTCGTGGCCATGCTGAGTGTCAGAGGGAGAGGGCGAGAGTCGAAAGGGGAGCGGGACGCTCAATTGCAATGATGACATTGCTACGGGGCAAGGGTTCTATCAGGTATCAGGGTATTGATGAGGCGAGCGCGACCCGAAGCATAATCGCCCGGAGTAATCTGAGAAATCACCCCTTCGCGTCCGGGAAAAGTGCAACAAACAGCGATTACGAGGGTCCAGGCCGATACCATAAATCTTCTTCTGTCTTTGTTCTCTGCCCATCTATACGTACTATAGGTATACCCCGCCATGGCCCACTGAGGCCGCCCTCCCTCCCTCTCCTCCCGCAAAGCCCCCCCCGCCCCCGGCCCGCGTCCCCCCCGGCCTCGCCCGCCAAACAATGGGCAACTGCGTGTCCGCCCCATCCTCATCATCATCGCCCTCCGACATCCCCCCTCCCCGCCGCCCAGCCCTCTCCACCGACGGCTCCTCCAACCCCAGCCCGAGCTCGTCCTCTCAAGGACCGCAAACACCGAAAAAGGGCAAAGGACGCGCGCTGTCACATCGGTCCGGCCTGTCGACATCGTCCATGATGGCTTCCCATCCCCTGCTCGCCCTGCGCCACTACGCGACGCTTTCAAACCCACAGACATCCCTCCCTGCCAACAAGCTGCTGTTTGCCAACTACAACACGATGGCAGTGTTTGATGCGTACCCAAAGGCAAAGTATCATTTCTTAGTACTGCCGCGGTACCCGTTCTCCTCCCAGTCCGATCCTGACGGGGACGAGTCGATCGTGCCGCTCGAAGCACTCGACGATCTCAAGAGCTTGCTGCTCAAGGGCGGGGTGTATGGACGGGAGGAAGTGCTGCGCGCGATGGAGGAGACGGCGAGAGAGGTCGAGGAGATGATCAGGGATGAGATGCTCAAGACGGAAGGGTTTGCTTGGCGAGTCGATGTCGGCTTCCATGCTGTCCCATCCATGAAGTGAGTCTGCTTCCAAACTCTTGGTGGGTCATGCTGACTGCGGTCATAGGCATGTGCATCTGCACGTCATTTCCGACGACCGTATCTCGCCGTCCCTCAAATCCAAAAAGCATTACAACTCTTTTCGCCCGGATCTCGGCTTCTTCATTCCCATCATGGAGGTCCGGAGATGGCTGCAGAACGAACAAACATTACAGGAGCGTGTCGATGTACGTTTCCATACCAAGTTGCTACGCGCAAGAGCTGATAGAGCCTTATAGGCGTTGGCCGCGACGACGTCCCTCCTCAAAACCCCACTCACCTGCTTTAAATGCGACGAGCCAATGAACAATATCGAAAAGCTCAAGACGCACTTTGAAAAAGAGTTTAGCAAAGAGCGAAAAGCTGCCCTGCGTTATATCGCGCGGCACGGGCATCAGAAGGGGAGTGACGATGATATCTTTTAGGGCGATGGGTGTTACTTTTCTCCATTTTGTTTCTTTCTTTTGGACGTGGGGTTTCAACTGGGTCTCGTATACCTCTGTATCAATTCCTGTACCTTTTCTTTCTCTAGTGACGACTGTGATGGCGTTCTATGGAGATCTGTATCGATAGCGGGGCGTGGTGATTTGGGCTTTTATCAATGCATGAATACGTGACAAAGTATGCCTGTGCTGTATTGCAAGCACTATGATCTATCTGCCTGGGCAGCCTCCAGCTTGGCCCAGAAGGGGTGTTCAGCCCACCCATCCATCGGTCGCGCAACCACTCGCCGTCTCACGCCGACCTCCTCGTCACCCTCCTGCCTCTGCGAAGCCGGTACCAGATACCATATCCGTTCCACGCCCATGCTCGTCAGGTAGTCTCTCATCTTGGGATAGTTGAGGCCGACGTATGAGACGCCATGTGAATCGTCAGAGAGACAGATCTTGCCCCCGAGCTCTTGGATCAGCTACAGTGCGTCAGCGGCAGTTTCCTTTACAGGGAAGGTAGAGGGCTCACCTGCAAGATGTCCTTGCCGGGGTAGCTCGTGCCCCATCCTTTACGGATAGCAGCAGCATTCGCCTCAAACAACCCTCCATACCTTACCACAGCCCTCACATTCCTCTCCACCTTTTCCCACACCCCCTCCATACCCTCCCCGGCTTTCAAATCCAGCCCAGGCGTCCAGAGAGAGCAGAGATCAATGTGCCCGAGGACTTCCGGGGAGTGGGTCGATATGAGGGTGTGTTGGGCGTCAAAGTAGTTGGAGAGGAAGGGTATGAGGGCTTGTGGGGTTGGGGTGTGGGATGGCTGGAGTTCGGGGAGGGTTTGGTCCCCCAGCTCGAGCTTTGGTGGCGGTCCCGGGTCCATCGTCCGTCCTTCTCCTCCCTCCGCGCTGGTCTTGACCGCCCTCAGCCACGTGGGTCTATCAAAGTCGATGGATACGCCATTCACATGGTGCACGCTGCCCACGACATAATCGATCTCGGCGTGTTCCTCCAGTATGCGCGTGAGGTTTGTGCAGTCCAGCGGGGTGATGTAGTCGGTTTCGATAGAGATGAGGAGGGAGATGGCGTGGGCGTGGGTGGCGCGGAGGGCGGCGGCTTCGTGGAGGAATGAGTTGTAGGCCGTGGCCAGGTCGGCGGGGGTGAGGTCTGCCTCCTCTGGGAAGAGGTCCTCGGTGCGGTACCTGGGGGCATGCTCGCTGAGGCCGAACACGCTGAAGCCCTGGCGGATGGCCTCGTGTACGACGTGGGCGAGGGCGTCTTTTGCGTGGCGGCAGAACTGGCCCGAGTGGGAGTGGTGGCTGTGCGGCATGGCGATAGAAGAGGAGTTAAGCGCGCGACTGATATTCGGCTCAAGGGCAACTCAAGGGCTGGCATTAGCCTCGAGCTTGCTTGTCACTTGGTCCCTCCACACAGCAACACTCTATCCTCGGGCACGGGCAGGGGTACAGGGGGGCGTCCCCGGGTCCCGCCAACAGACAGTATATAAGCATGCACGCACTCCCATGCATCCCATACCCGCCGCCATGACCCTCGTTACCCCAGACACAAAGCACGTCGTCATCGTCCCCGCCGCCATTGGTACGTCCCCTCCTATCACAGCTACCACGCTCACTATTCCCAGGGGGCACATCCGCCCCCTCCTCCATCTCGGCATCAACCTCCTCACCCTCCACCCAGGCCTCCGCGCCACCTTCCTCATCACCCCCTCCATCGCCCCGCGCCTCGAGAAGGACCTCGAGCACTCTGTCGCCGACCTGACTATCGGTACCACCCCCGTGGCCGAGAGGCTCCAGACCATCATCTGTGCGCCTAAAGGTTCTGATGCGTCCAGGGAGTTCAAGGCGGACGATATGGGTAAGGAGGTTGTCGAGTTTGCCAGTGTGATGCCCGACATCATCAGCGGGTTGTACGATGCCAAGTATAATATCAACGGGACATTGAACAAGTTTGAGGGATTGCCTCCCAGCTTGGTCCTCTACGACGTGAGTCTCATATACCCAAGAGATCAAAGCTGACCCTGCCACAGATGTTCCAAACGTTCGTCCCAGACATCATGGTCAGTACTCTCGAGCCTCTCAACATTCCCGTCCCGCCTCTGGTCATGTTTGGTCCCTGCTCCCCTGCCTCCGTGTATCAGCAAGTCATCCTTCGAGCCAGAAACCTTCTCGTGTGTACCTGACATCCAACAACAGCTCATTCGGCCCCGAAGAGAAAGGGGGATCCTTTGCGAGGATCACGCGGTTGGCCGAGGAGGACATTGCCAAGGGCGCAGACCCTATCGAAGCTTATGAAAAGGTATGTGTCCTTTTTTATATTGTATGTATCGTCGCTCATCGGTCATGCGTGTAGTATGGATTCAAGGGTACTGGCCAAGTACTGCCTCTTCCAGGTCTGCCTGCCAAATTCGACTGTGAGCACTCTCTCCCTAATATCTTTTGACATACTGTAGCTAACCCTATGCCACAGACGAATGGTGTACGCTTATCACATATGAAATGATATTTCCCAGCTGACTTTTGACAGGGCCTCACAAGGATACAGTCCCAATCAGCGGCCACGTCGTCTCAGCCTCCATGCCTGCTCTCAAAGCCTTCTTGCACAAGAATACAGTCGCCATCGCCATCGCCTTTGCTGGAGAGTTGGAACCAGAGGCAGTGTCCGCTCTCGAGCAAGAGTTTAGCGACAAGACCATCTTGACTGTTGGGTACGTTCGTGCCATGCATCCTGCCTGTGGTGTTTTCGAGATTGACAAGGTATATCCAGCCCTCAGTTCCCGGAAGAGATGTGGGATGGCGACTTTTCTGTCAAGGCGGGCAGCGATGACGACAAGCGAGTCGTCGCCTTCCTCGACCAGATGAAGGAGAAGCACGGCTCAAACAGCGTATGCTACATCAGGTACCCTCTCCTCACTCTTGCCTTGGCCATCTACTAACGCAACCTTGCACCCAGCTTCGGCTCCCTCTTCTTCCCCATCTTCCGCCCCGAACTCATCCGCTACATCCTCAAAACACTCCAAGAAACAGGCGTCCCCTTTGTCTTTGCCTACGCTTCCGGGATCGTGCCCGTGCCCGCCGAGCTTATTGAAGAGTTTGCGGGTCTGGAGGATGCTTGTTTCGTCAAGTTTGCGCCGCAGTGGGCGGTTCTGAAGCACCCGGCTACTGGGTTTTTCCTTGTGCGTCCTCTCTCTCTCTCTGTGTGTGTAAATGGGACACTTGCTCATGGTATTGTAGACCCACTGTGGTAGCAACAGTACCCACGAGGTGAGTCAACTTGATCTTTCAACCTTTGATCCCCGCTTAATGCCAAATGACAGACAATCATGGCCCAAGTCCCCATCGTCTCCATGCCCTTCGCAGCCGACCAAGGCGAGATCGCCTCCCTCCTCACCGACGTCCTCCACGTCGGCATCGACCTCAAACAGACCAAGACATTCACCAACCCGCCTTTCGACACGCTCTACGACGGCACGGTTATTGAGGGCACCGAGAGCGCGATCAAGGATGAGATGAGGACGGTGTGGAAGAGGATGAAGGGGAAGGAAGGGGAGGGGATGAGGGTGAGGATGGGGGAGGTGAAGGAGAGGTTGAGAAAGAGTTTCAATGATGGGAGGGGGAAGCAGGATATGATCAAATTGGGCGAGTGTCGATTCTAGTTGTCTTTTAGCACGCGTATCGCTGTATTCTTGTTGAATGAACAGATAGACGGCAGTACCACGAGTACAGCCAAGGCGTTCGTCATGACGGGACGAGCATCGCTTCAAGACATACACAGTGCAGCTTGAGTATGTTATGTGTCATGTGTCCGCTTATAATGATATACGGAAAGACGGATGAATGAGAAACCCTATAATCCATCACAACATGTCCGTCCGCAAAGAACCAAAGAAGGGTCCAAAGATATATACTGTACTACCTATCGAAGTAGGAAAAAATAATATAAAAACAAGGAAGAACAGGGAAAGACATGTAGAAGGTCAACAAGGGGGCGTACGGAATTGACAGAACCGTCTCTATCTACCTGAGCGAGACTATTCTGAAACAGGGATTGTAAAAAGGGGCGGGAGAGTTTGTTCAAGAATTTGGCCAAGGAGAGATGGAAGGGTTTCGAGAGGGGCATGAACGTGTCGGGCAGGACACGACATGCAAGCATGGGCAGAGAGAGTTTAGACTTCGGTTGTGGAGTTGAAGTACTTGACAGAGGCGACCTGATGGACGTCAGCTCATGATTCGAACGCGAGGGCGATCACTCACCTCCCAGTAAGCCTCAGTAAAGGCAGAGCCCTTGTTGAGGACATAGTCGGCACAAGTGGAATAGCCAGTGGAGGCAGCGCAGCTCTCGCTTTGGCCGGCATAACCGGCATAGTTCCAGACAGAGTCGGCACCGGCCCAATCTCCACAGAGGGTGGTGTCGAACTAGCAAGAGGTCAGCGAAAGCCCAGAGCGTAGACGACGGCAATACTCACAATGTTGAAGTGGTCATAGAAGAACTGGTAAGGGTTGCAGCTGTCAGAGACAAAGTTGGCAACAGGGGTACCCCAGCTGGAAGGGTCGGGGGTGTTGCTGTCAATGTCGGAGGGGATAGAGCCTCGCTGGAAGAACCAGACGGCGATACCAGCCTTGCTCCATCGCATGGCGTACACACCACCCTTGTTGCTGTTGAAACTAGCACCGTAAGAATTGTCGCTAGTCTCATCACGAGCGCCACAACCTTGGTTGGAAGTGTCGGTGGCAGAGCAGTCGTAAGAGTCGTAGTCGCCAGTGGTGAGGGTGGCCGTCATGTTGTCCTGGATGTTGTTGGGCATGGTGCAGCCGACACCGGTATGGAGGGACACTTGGTTCTGGTCAAAGGCGTTGACACCCTCGAGAATGTCAATCTCGCCACCCTCGGGCCAGTTGGGACCGTTCTGCCACCAGGCAGGCCAGGTGCCACAGCCAACGGGCATGTGGTAGGCGTCCATGATGACAAGACCACCGGTGAAGCTGGACATGATCAGCATTCAAACACTCGAGGCGCTGATCGACTTACACCTTGTTACCGTGAATACGGACAGACTTTCTAGCAGTAGAGACGACTTCGGTGGTGTCGACAGACATGACGGCGCGGTTATCAGAGTTGATCGCCACGAGACCCGAACTCCAGGCATCGGAGGCAGACTGGTAGTCGACGGTACCGTGAGTGGGATCAGTGTAAGACCAGAAACTCCAGTTGTCGAAAAAGTTGCTTCCGGACTATGATCAAGTCAGCTTTGATATCCAACTGAAAGGTTTAGACACGCACCCATTCTTCCACTAGAGACCAGGAGCTCGAGGTCGCCGCACTGTTGGTACCGTTACTGGAGCCAGTGGAGGAGGCAGAAGCCGCCGTGGCGGAGGCAGTTCCAGTGGCAGTCTGCGAAGCGGTAGAGGCGGCAGTTGAAGAAGCACTGAACTTGGCTTGGCAAGACCTCTTCTTGTTCTTTGCCTTTCGCACAAGACGCTTGTTCTGGTTACGAGCAGCGACAGGCGAGTCGCTTCGTCGAAGGTCGGCTGCGATATCGCGGTGAGAGAGTCCAGCACGCTTGGCGTGGGCGGGCTCAAACTTGATAGCAGAGATCACCGGGACGGCGGCAAGGATGGGGATGATGGTGTTGGAGAAGAGCATTGTGGGGGATTTGGTAGTGGTAGGAGACTGGGAGTTATTGTTGTTTGTTGTTTGACAAGATGAACCGCCTGGGATTGACTTGTGCTATAATGATGGTGCTTGACCTGTGTAAAAAGTGTCGACAGTAATGGCAAGTGACCGGCGTGGCGCGCAGCGATTGTCCGGTGCTGTTGGAGGAATTGACAGGGGCAGGGCGGAAGATGCGAGGCAAGGCGAGGGCGGGAGGAGGGCGAGGGTGCAGATGCAAACGCAAAGAGTGGCGTGGGGGCACAGCGATGACAGATGTGTGATGGGCGATGGCGCAGTGCCATTGTTCGTCGTTCGGAAGTTTCGCAACAGGCGCAAGGGGCGCGTGTGTGGATGGGATCGACGGCGGAGGTAGTCACAGGCGAGGCGGCGGCGAGGGCAATGAGAGGTCGGATTGGGCGGGCAGCGAGGAGAGCATGCGGAGAGGGGCAGAGAGAAGAAGGTCTGTCAGCCAGTGTTCCTGCTATAGCTTGCGCAGCGTGCAGACGGCAGGTGAGGATGCTGGAAGAGCAGCGTGGAGCGAGGCAGGGCCCACAAACACCCCACCCAGAACATGCGGGGGACAGCCATGCTGGTTATTGTCGTCAAGTTTGGCCCCGATACCATCCTCACCCGGCACAGTCTAGCGTGGCGGCTCCGAGAGACGAGACAGCTCCAACTCACCTAGGGTATGCGCGTAGGGCGTGTGGTGCGCTGGGGGAGATGGATGTGAGGATGGGGTAAAGAGTGACGGGGTAGGCTGGAGGGGAGAAAGAGGGTGAGAGAAGAAAGAGAAAAGGGATGGATAATTGGATCTCTCGGCTGTACAAACAATTCACGCGGCACTTTGAGTTTACCAACTTTCAACAGCGACGCGGCTGCAGCCCTGGTTCGTGGCTTGCCGACTTCCTGGGCGGATGCCTTGGGGGATGCCCCTATGGGTCCCATTTGGACAGCCTGGACGGTATGGACGCCCATGCATCCCATCCCACGCCATGATGCAGCGCACCTAGCTCCATAAGCGGGCCATTTGGTGTCAAGCGCCTCAAAACAAGTCGCGTCGGACGCGTCGTGCTCAGGATATCAGAAGCCATCCCCCTGAACCCTGTCCCTTTTTCGAGCATTCCTTCTTCTCTCCCGGATCTTTGCAGCTCTGTGATCTGTGATCTGGTTGAGGCCTGGTTCCGAAGCCTGAAACCTGCACTCGTCACGGGGGAGCTGGAATCTCTTCTGGTCTCTAGTAGCAGACTCGGCCATCACTCGGTCAAGTCAAGAGGCGTCCTTCAACAATGAGGTGCAACAATATAATGAGGTGGGAGAGCCTTGCACATCCAAGGTCTATGTAAAAACTATCAATATCCCAAAATGTGTACACTCTAGAGTACAGATACACCTTCCGACAACCGCTCCAGATCTAGTAACCCAAGGCGGCCCTCCTCCTCAACTCGGACTTGCTCGTGTTGCCCTCACCCTCCGGCGTGGCATAACGCTCCGCCATCCTCTTTGCCTCAGCGTCAATCTCTTTTTGGAGCTCACCGCTCTCGAGCTTCTCCTGCTTCATCTCGGCAACGCAGGCGATAAAGTCTTCAACAGCCTCGGGGGTGATTTGGTGGTGGATGACAATACGTTCACGGCCGATGGTGATGGGGTCGGGAAGGGCAGCGAGTCGGGCCTTGACGGTGTCCAAGGGCAGACCGATCTTGTTGGGTTGGAAGAAGACCTGAGACGAGTCAGTATACTACCAGCGGCGATGAATGGAAGCTTACCATGTTGGTGTCGACCTGCGCCAAGATATCACAGCCAGCCTCTCTCAGACCCTGCTCGAGCCTCTTCGCCAGCTGGTGGGTCACAGCCAACTTGGGGAAGTGGTGTGTGATGGCATAGTCGGCGGAAGCAGTGATACCACCAGCCTGTCTGATACCACCACCAAAGGCCTTCTTGAACCACCTCGCTTTTTGGATAAAGTCTTTAGGACCGACAAGGATGGAACCAATGGGGGCACCGATACCCTTGGAGAGACAGAGGGAGGCAGTGTCGAAGGGGGCGATGAGCTCAGTCAAGCTGTTTCCAGTCAGCTCCAGAGCCAAAAGACAGGAGGTTGCGCTTACACAGTCTTCAAGTCCTCCTCCTTGGTAGCATCCAGACCCCTCTTCTCCACCACGTCGGCAGCGACGTTCCAAATTCTGGCACCGTCCAAGTGCAACGCAATGTCGTGCTTCTTTGCCAGCTCTCCAATCTTGACGACCTCCTCTTGAGGGAAGATCATACCAGACAAGGTGTTCTCGAGGCAGATGAGCTTGGTGGGGGCGATGTGAATGTCTTCACCAAGCTGAAGGTTGGACTCGACATCTTCAAGTGAGAGGTTGACACCGTTTTCGGGCACAATTTGGTGGGTCGTAGCTTGAGAGAACATGGCGATACCACCAGCTGCGAACTACGTCAGCACAGTCATCCTCACAGGGACGAGTCGAGTCGCGTACCTTCCATCTTGTGCACATGCGCCCTCCAGTCAGTGATGACACTGTGAGGGGGCTGCTTCATATGTGTCCTAATTGCCAGTTCTACGGCATCGTCAGCTTGTGCGGCCGCATATGGAACCAATAAGGACCCACGGTTGGTCTGAGTACCGCTCACGGCAAACATCGCAGCCTCCTTGCCAGTAAGCTCAGCGACCCTCTTCTCCAGAGCGGCAGTCGTGGGGTCTTCGCCGTACACATCGTCGCCTCGGGTGGCTTTGAGGGCGTAGAGAAGCATGTCGTCGGTGGGAATTGTGACAGTGTCGCCTGGAAATAATGGTCAGCCTCGTTCGGAGTTGTATTGTGTATTGGCAAAAGGAGGTGGCGTACTTCGGAAATCTCTTGATACTCTGTTGAGCTGGTCAACATTCTCCTGGCCGCCCACATCGGCGGTGACGGCAGCAGCAGACTTGGAAAGAGCGATAGGCATTGTCGATGTGAATGGTCTGGTTCGCAGAGGTTGTGATGATGGTTGAGTGCGAGGGATTTGGAGTCGGCGGGTGGGACTATACACAGAGAATAGACGGGAGAAAGACGATGTGTTTGGTAAAGAAGATGGGTGGAGAAGAGAACGAGTCATGGCGAAATTCGAAATGGATGAGATAAACGGTGGCAAACGGCTACGGTAGAGAACTTTTTCCTCGGATAAGTCCGAAGGTGAAATCTTGTTCGGAATTTAGAAGCGATGGGGCTGACGAAGCTCGAGCTGTCCGATTTTGCAGAGCTGCCCTTTCTATATACCAAATCAGGCTTGCATACAGAGTGACAGAGGGATGATGAGCATTGGCCAGGCCACCTGGCAAACTTCTATCGGCAGCTCCGCCCGTTGGTCAATTGCGTGCGTCAGAACCATTCGCGGCAGCGATGTGGATGCACTCGAGTCTGTACACCCCAGAAGATTCAGAAGCTCACTGGAGTCGCTGGCGACAATAACTGTACATAGGCCATGGAAACCAGGACAATTAACCTGTGTATGCTCGACGCTCTGGCCCTTCGTCCGCCGCGCATTCTTGTCATGAGTACTCGGTATCCAAGGCGTACAAGGACAGTGCAACGGTACACCGCCAATATGGTAAGATGACCCGAGCTATGACAGGAGATAGAGGGTGTGAACATGATGGTTTTAACAAATGACGCTGTCCCTGCCCATCCTCCCCGACACCCTCGATCTCACTCCGTCCCTTTCTGTCCCTCATCGTCGTCTTCGCCGGCCGTCTTCCACACAGCTTGCATATCCTTCTCAAAGGCCGCCTGCCGAGCTGCTCGCTCTCCCTGCTCGACGTACTCGGCGACCTCAAAGTCGATGATGCGAGGAGCACCGTCGACGGAGTGCTTTGTGACGTTCCGCGGCCAGACGTCGTGATGGAGGATGCCGTGCTCGTGGATTTCAATGTACGCGTTGATAATGGCCAGTCTGGAAGAGAAGTTCAGCTTCGGTTCTGAATGACTAGGCGTTAGGTGCGAGGGGAAGATGGGCGCTAGGGATAGCCGCCAAGCTGCATAGAGGTCGATCCTTGTAGCCTTTGATCACGCCGAATCTGGAGCTGGGGGTGGGCATGGTGTCATTCAAGGCTTAGGTATAACAGTCGACGTTCAAGACGGACAAGACGATGTGGAAGAGAGTCAAAGAAACTTGAAAGAAACGGTCGAACGGCTGACCGAATTGCGGGATCAAATGCACCGCGTTCCACGTCTTTTGGCATCTTGCAGTCTCCTTCTACGCATCTCTCCATCCACGCCCTCCCCAGCATGTTCTCCTCCCTCAAAAGCGCGGCCCTCGTCGGTCTCGTCGCCCTCTCATCACTGGGCGCTGTCTCCGCAAAAGGCGCCTTGGGCGTCAAGGCTGCCAAGGTCTCTGTCACCTCGCCCGATGGTCTCAACGACGCGACATATACGTGAGTGCATCTGCGAGATCTTGTTACAGAAGAACGAACCTGTACTGACGTGTGATGCTAGTTTGAAAGAACCCGCTCCCATCTCAGCACCCATCGACCTGTCTGAATCCTCCATCTTCAAGCTTTCATTCACTGTCGTCGACACCGTGTCTGGCGAGTCGGTCTACCCTCAACAAGCTTCGCTGCTGTTTGAAGATCCCAAGGGAGACGATGTCACTCTTCCAGTGACTGTCAAGAGCAATGGCAAAGCTCAGCTTACCATCGTGCGTTTATTCGCAGTTGCATGCTGCGCAGCTCGAGCTGATTGTCGGACTTTGTAGAACGCTGCCAAACCCCACCCAGCCCTCCTCCCAACCCACGGCAAGTTCCACCTCACCCTACTCCTCTCCGCTTTGGACGAATACGCCCCTCTGGCCTACCCCTTGGGCGAGCTCTCCTTGCCGTCTTCGGTCCTCCAGCCTATCCCTAGGAAGCGACACGATCTGCCCGCTCGGGCGGGCGAGCCGGCGTTCCAGCCTGAGCAGGAGCTGTTCCACACTTTCAGTGAAGATCCCAAGACTGTTGGATGGTTCAAGAGTGGAAGCGGGGTTGCGATCACGCTCGCGCCTTGGGGGCTGCTTTTCGCTTTGGTGCGTCATCTCTGATCCCGGTCTGTGGCATCGCTAATATATCCCAGGTCGGCAAGCTTTCTCCATCCCTCAGCTTGCAGACCCCCGCCGTCTCTTCCGTCATCTTCCTGATAGTACTCGCTGCCATTGAGACGCTTATCTTTGTCTACTGGGTTGGACTCAAGTTGTACCAAGTGAGTGATATCGGCAAACTCGGCTCGGGCGTTCTCTAATGACCTTTTCAGCTCCTTCCCCCTTTCCTCGCTCTCTGCGCCATCGCCGCTTACACCGGTCTGGTCGCTCTTCGGGAGATGCGAGTGCAAAGACTGAAGGCGGGCGGTGTGCCTTAGGCGAAGAGCGTCGGCGTGGAGAAGCTAGATTTGATGCAAGTCTGAAGAACATGCGCATGCAATGACATGTGCTAGATGGGATCTCTATGGGCACGTGTGATGTCTACATGAGGGACCGACAAGGAGCGCATGTCGAGACTTTGGGATAAGACGCTGTGCACTCCTTTATGCCACAGTATCGAACGTTCATCGTAATCGGAAGGATTGATTGTCTGAGCAATCTGCACGTCCTGTCACGTTTGATAACGATTCATATCGCAAAGTCCAGGCGAATCTAGGCAACAGGCTGATCTGCAGGCCCAGCCCAAAGTTGAACGATCTCGGAAGCAGTGCCATGTCGGAGTAGATCAATGCGAGTGCCGGCGGCAGTTGATACATCGCACGCCCTGTCTCTGATGGCGAATGCTGTAGCGTATGTTGACCCAGATACTTTTGCTCCATGCATTGTATCGCATACCCGCTGGGCGGGCGGTGACGGTCATACTCGGTGCTAAATTTGATCGCGGTTTGTTTACGCTGGGTGCGCCGAGTTGTTGGGAACGAATTCATCAGCTCCTTTCCCTGCCCCTGCCTCTCCTTTTTCCATCGATTCCATTCTCAGATCGCCCTTTCGAAGCATCCCCGACCCCGAGCGGCCCTGTCCATACTGTACAGCACCCTTGTACACTCTCCCGCAGCCATCCCGCACGTGTGCATCCCAGTATCCGCCATCTCCGCCCATCCATCCGCCATGTCTATCGCCCGTACCATATTATAATACCTATTCCAGAGTCGCTCCCACTTCCTTCAGCCACCACCTAAAGCGCCAGAAGGCGCATCACTCGCCGAACAATGTCACCTTTCCGGAAACCCTCCCTATCGACTCTCCCATCGCATCTCGAGCTGCCCACAACTTGGACAAAGTTCCAGACGATCCTCATGGGATCGATGAACTTTTACCGAATTCATCTTATCGCATTCACAGTGGTGAGTAGTACTTTGTCAAAGGACATTGCCCAACTCTGTACTGACATGGCCCATACAGATCCCTCTCATTACATCTGGAATCATGTACGCCTGTAACACCGAAATCCACATATCCTATATCGATTGCCTGTTCTGTTGCATGTCGGCCATGACTGTGACGGGACTGGCGAGTGTCAATCTGAGCACGCTCAGTGTGGTACAGCAGGTGATCCTGTTTGTACAGATGATCATCGGCAGTCTGGTAAGTGCAGCCCGCCCAGCTTTGGCTCAGGCTGATGGTATTGCAGACATTTGTGTCTATTGTTATGATCATGGTCAGGCAGTATTTCATCCGCCAAAGCTTCAAACATGTGTTGCAAGAACGACAGAACCTGAGGAACCGTCTGAGCAAGACGCTCACCCGGGTTGCCACTGTCGCCCCGCCGCTCTCTGCTCTACGGAAGAAATTCAGCAGAAAGGATAAGGTATGTACTCTTTCGCTCCATCTGGCCAATCTGACAATGTCAACAGGACGGGGCCGACAGCCCCAAGGGCTCTCCAAAACGCTCCTCGACCCCTTCCTCATTCGAACTCAACCCTGTCGCCCCATCTCCCCGAAAGCCAGAAGAGCACAAGCCCAAAAAGAAGCGCCACGAGAAACTCCGTCCTGACATGATCAAACGTGTCGAAGGCGGCGGTGTGGGGTTGGTGAACAATATGGGCTGGTACGATGCACAGCGGGAGAAGCTGGCGACGCCTGCGCCCACGCCGGAACGGAGAGGCTCGCCTGGCTCGCCTTTACCGACTGGGAGCACGATGCTGAGCGATAGTGGGAAAGAGTTGACTCAGGCGTTGGAGGCTGCTGTTGAGAGTGGGGCTGTACCAGGGCATCAGGTGGAGGACAATGGGGAGGCTGTTTTGACAGAGTCGCCGACGGGAATGGAGGATTATCAACGGCATGACGGTGAGAGGCGAGAGCGTCTGAGGTCTATCCTGGAGGCACCGGATATCAACGTCCAGACCGTCTCCACCGATACTACCGAACATTATTCTGGTGAAGAGTAAGTGCATGTCACCTAAATCGATCTCTATACTAACAGCCACCGCAGGGATCAATCGCCTTCTCCGCCTCATTCCCCTGGTACCAAAGTGCCTTACGCTGGCCTGCAGCTCACAGATGGCAAGTCACAACCTCTTTTTAGCAGCAAGCTAACAATCACTTAGACGCATTCCCTCGCTCCAAGACTATTGCTTTTGAAGATACCATGGACGACAGCCACGATTTCCGCGAACGCGCCACCTCCACTCAAAGAGAATCCTTCTTCCCCCGCTCGGCCACCTTCCGAAGCAATCAAGGACAGTCTACCAATCAGGACCGCCTACCCTATTCTGCTACGATGCAGTCTGGAGCAGGCAACTTCCCCAGGACGTATTCGCTGAGGCCTACGAATAGTAATCGTCGGCAGGATCACCGGCTGCAGGGATTTGGAGGATTTCCGACACCGTTGGACATCGGAAAGAAGGTCTTCCGAAGGGTATTCCCCGAGACGCACAAGAATCTGTCCAAGAGCTTCACCATGCCGAGGACGAACACCTACTCTGGAAAAAGCACGATGACTGCGACCGGGCCATCTGAAGGGAAGGAAGTGCCGTATATCAGCTTTGCGGCTACTGTCGGGAGGAATAGTCGTTTCCAGGGGTTGACCAAGGAGCAGATGGATGAGTTGGGTGGAGTGGAGTATCGAGCTTTGCGTGTGTTGTTGCATATCGTCGTTGGAGTGAGTTTATCTTTGGTCTGTAGAGAGTTTGGAACACTGATAAGCCTGCAGTATTTCATCTTTGTGCAGATTGCGGCTTTCATCATAATGGCACCCTATATTGCCGCCGGGGGACGGTACCAACATGTTTTTGATGACCAGCCGAGACAAGTCAAGGTTTACTGGTTCGCCCTGTTCCAGTCGGTCTCCGCGTTCACCAATACGGGTATGAGTCTGTGTGATTTGAGTATGGTGCCCTTTCAGAGAGCGTACTTGATGATTGTTGGTGCGTAAAGCGTGGCTTTCTGGGAAGTGATTCTGACAAAGCTGGTGAATTTAGTCTTGATCATCCTAATCTTCGCTGGTAATACTGCTTTTGTGAGTTCAGTCCCTTGACGTAATGTACATCTGCTGACTTCTTCCTAGCCTGTCTTGTAGGTGTTTATTGACGGTGGAGTGTGATCTGAGTGATGCTAACGTATTATCATCTTCAGTCTTCGTTGTACAGTGTGAGTCTGATCCCTCACCTTCACAAGGAGCACGCGCCCTGACCTTTGAGGAGATGGACCTTATACAAGCTGGTCCCCGTCACATCTCGGATACACGAGTCTCTCAAGTTCTTGCTGGACCATCCTCGACGGTGAGATTGTTCGATCTGGTCGTCGATTCGCCACTGACTTTTTCAAAGATGCTTTGTCTACCTGTTTCCTGCTACCCAGACTTGGGTTCTTGCCCTAGTCATGTTGGGTCTCACGTGCGTCACAACTCCCTCCTTCCTCTCAAATGCGACTGACAAAATCACAGCCTTATTGATTGGGTCAGTTTTCTTGTTCTGGATTTGAGCACCGAGTAAGTGATTTGGAATGACTTGGCGATGCAATGGCTGAGACTCTCGACCAGGGCAATCATGTCTTTACCAGTCGGAACACGTATCGCTGCTGGCTTCCTGCAATCGGCAGCTGTACGCGCCTCTGGTTTCAGCATCGTGTCCCTCGGGGCATTGGCACCTGCCGTCAAAGTCCTCTACGTCGTCATGATGGTAAGCCGCTGGCCCATAGGCAAGGAGATCATGTGGCTCACAAAACGTCTGTAGTACATCTCCGTTTACCCCATCGCCTTATCCGTTCGAGCGACTAATGTGTATGAGGAAAAGAGTCTGGGACTCTTCGACGAAGAAGTGGAAGACGATGATGTTTCGGAAGAAGGCGAGGGTGCGCAGGCTGTGGCCAAGTACATTGGGTGGCACGCTAGGCGGCAGTTGGCGTTCGGTGAGTTGCATCTTTGATCTAACCATGAGTGAAGCACTGACGTTGTCTAGATATCTGGTGGCTTGGTTTTGCTCTCTGGCTAGTCTGCATCATCGAGCGCGGACATATCGATAATGACCAGGAATGGTTCAATATCTTCAACATCATTTTCGAGCTTGTCAGCGCTTATGGAACTGTTGGCTTGACAGTCGGGCTTCCATATGACAACTTTTCGTATGTGGCTGCTTTTCATCCTTTCACACTCGTGCTGATATGGGAAATACAGTTTCAGCGGTAGTTTCAGAAAACTCTCCAAGCTTGTCATTATTGCTGTCATGTTGCGAGGAAGACATCGTGGGCTGCCCGTCGCTGTGAGTCTACTTCTCGTGTGAAGGGCTAGGAATATTTGCTGACATTCTCGTAGATCGATCGAGCTGTTATGTGTATGCTTTTGAACACCCTTACACTGACACATGAAGCTGACGATGTTCGTAGTGCCCAAAGACTTTACGGCTGAGGAAGAAGCAGCCTTTGAAGAAGAACGCTCTCGTCGCATGTCTCGCTCTCGTCGAGGCAGCAGTTTCTACCAAGAAGAACCTTTCGTTCCTCGATCCCGCCCCGAATCATTTGGTGGCACCGGTGCTTACCAAGAGGTCAATTTCACCCCCGGACCCGTCACTGCCATCCCCATTCCCCATCATCATCAACACCATGTCATCCACTCAGAACAAAAAGCTGAACAGATAGGCAGTGGTCCTGGTGGGGTGCACAAGTTTGGGCATTTCCGATCCAGTTCCACTGGGAGCAACTCCCATGGGCCGGAAAGTCCTACCTTCCAGCCGAGGGAGAGTGAGGACAGATGGCCACATAGCGGAAACAGGGCATTGACCCCTGTGAGGGAGGGTCATATGAGTAGCGCTCAGAGCCACCCCCCGGTGTACACCACAGATAGTGCCCTCGAGGTTTGATGGAGAGTAAGAAAGTGGGGCGAGCATATCATACCGTTTCTTCAGCCGATCAACAATCAACATAGACGTTCGAGTACAATTCGCATTTATAGTTGATTCTTTTCTGAGGGGGCTGTTGTGCTTATAGTAGTAGACATGATTATAACGAACCAAAATCCCGAATGCATTCCTTCCAATCCCAACAATGAATGTTTTGAGTAACAAGAATAGTTATTGTTTTTTTGTGACGAAATTCAACCCCTCCTCATCCAAAAGAAGCTCTATAGATACTCTCTTGTCACATTATATATACCCCCTTTTTCCTCTTCAACCTCCCTCTATACGGAGTCGATTTTGATGCTATGCTCCGTCCTATCTATCCCCTAGCCCCAATGCGTTCAAAGCTCCCGATGGCGCTCCACTATCATCCTCAGCAGCCCTATCCTCCGCATCCGCCGCCGCTTGAGCACCCATCTGCACCAACGCCGTGTCACTCCTTGGCCTGAGAAGCCCTCCGCTTCCTCCGATCTCCGTCCCACTCCTGGTCCTCTGCATTGACCTTTCCGACGCATCGTACGTGGGAAGTCTCGAGTCGATCGGTACGATCCCACCTCCCAGGAAACCTCGAGAGGCAATATCGTATGATGGGACTTGGGTCATGGGGTCAATATCCTCGTCGTCATCTGCATCGGGCGTATCAGGCGCTCCGAGCTCGAATCGCGTAGACCGCTCAGGCTCGAATGTCACAGCATGAGGAGCGAAGGATACATGGTTGCCTCCATTCGCCCCCGCACCGCCTTGTGCTCCAGCAGCTTCCAAATCGCCGGGGACGGATGCGTTGCGTGGGATGACGTTCGAGTTGGGGAGAGAGAGGTTGGACGACGTGCCGTTGTTTCGCAGGATCGGCCTACTGCCAGAACCGCCTCCCGAGCCAAGGTGGGAGAGAGGACGCATGCCCTTGGGGAGATGGAAAAGGCCGTGCAGACCGGTGGATCGGTGTCGATCAAAATTGGGTCGCATATGCGCACCTTCCTCGTTGTAGCTCCCAACAGTCGACGAGTTGGCACTGCCTCGCTCAGGACTCGACGCCCTACTACCTACCCTACTTCCAGCCCTACTGGCAGACATGCTGCTCCACCCCGAGAGGTTCGTCCTACTGCCCCTTCGACTGAGCGGGCGACTAGGCGCTCGCGAGTCGGGAGGCGTAGAGTTGGGTGAAACACCATTGGAATGGGGTCGGAGCGCACCGAGCGACATGAGCAGCTCTGAATCGACAAAGTTAGACAGCTGCCTTCGTGGCGGAACGTCACCAGCAGCAGGCGTGGAATCACCGCTTCTACCTCTGACAGGCGACCCTGGACGGGAAGGCGCCCGGCTTCGGGGTGGTGTATCGTCGTGCGGCGAACCCATAGGCGTCGCGGCGACGGAGCGAGGGAAAAAGCCTGTGGCTGAGCCAGAGTCGGCGACGGCGATTCGGTCGTAAACGTGATTGCTGTAGCTCGGGAGATCGACCGGCTGCTCTTCTGACTGGTTACCGCCAAAGAGCAAGCCTCGAGTGCTCGCGCTGGCAGCGCGAGCTTCGTCGAGAAGACTGTGAGAGAGAATGGTGATGGGAAGCGCGCATCGCAGCTCAGAGGTGTGACCGTCCGGGTTCGAGATAGAGCAAGACCACTTGATTTTGTGGGTAATGAACACGGGGTGTATCGAGTGCGAGGGGGTCACCCAGGCAGGGATTGGGATCGTAAAGTGTGTGTCAATCTCGTCATCGCCAATTTCAATGTCTGTTCCGCTAGATTCGGCCAAAGAAGCAAGATCGGCACTGGACGAAGAAGCTTCAGGCTGAGCCGAGGTGGATGCAGCAGATGAGGATCCAGTGTTGACATTGGCATCTGGGAAGTAGCTGTCTGGCGGACGCGTGCTGGTGTTGGGTGCAAGACGCCCGCGAGTGCTGGCTACGGGAGTATGGTTGGGACTGGGATGGCGTGATGTGGAAGCACTGCCTCTGTTGGACCCGGCACCATCCCAGTGTTGAGGTGGGCGGATAGGTTCTCGAGCAAGCTCAATGGCACGGCCATCTTTGATCTCGTGCTTGATGCAAGAATCGACTCGGGTGTCGGGGTGAGACGAGTGCCTAGTGTGAACCAAAGTGTACTCTTTGAGTACCGAGACGACATTGGTCACTCTGACGCCTTTTGCGAGGGGCATGAACTTGACATTGACAGGTATATCATCCCCGGCAGCGTACGCCTTGTAGGGGAGAGTCAACGAGTACATGACCTTGCCAGGCCAAGTGTTTTCGATTTCGAGCGTTTGATTGAATTCGAGAGCCTCGGTGGTAAACATTCGAGTGAGGCTAAACTCTTTGGCGGCGGTATAGTTGCTCGCAAAGCCCGATCGTACGACTGTAGCACGGAGCTTGTAGACGATGATGGCGTCACCAGAGTAGGTTCTCAAGGTGGACGGGAGGTTGCCTTCGAGCGTAAAGGAGAATGGGAAGGAGTGATAGCCCGCTTTGAGGGTGTGGGCGTGACCTTTGCCGCCCTGCAAGAAGGACCAATCGTGCGTGATGATGGGGTGGCTGAAATGCCGATTCTTGGAGCCAGCGCTATGGAAACGTCAGATCGCAGCGCAAAAGGCTCATGGGGTACTCACTTTCCAGCGTCGGCAAACTGAACCTTTGCTTTACCAGTCATAGTCATATTAATCTCCTTGATGTTTGTCGACTCGGACAGATTGAGCTCGACTCTACCAGCAAGGTAAGCCGGCTCCATGTCACCTCCTTGTCCTCGTAGAACCAAATGATCGTTGTCCAGCGCAATGTCCAGCGCATGGCCACCATAATTGCTGCCTCCAGGCGTGCTCATCGCACTGGGAGTAGCCCAGCCGGGCGTACTCGCTCCCCATCCCGGAGTCTGAGCCGGCGTACTGTCGTACGCCGGGGAAGGCTGGGCAGAAGAAAAGTAGTCTGCCGAGTCTGCGCCAAACTCGGCACCCTCTCGTCGTCGAGAAGGCAGCATGATCTGAGATGGTCGGCTGGTCAGACTAGGGCCGCGGGTGGGAGAGGAAGCTCGCGAAGAAGCTCTCGATGAGCCACCAGATGCGTTGGAGACATGTCCACCGATCGTCCAACGAGCGGGCATGGCGAGGATGTGTCTGTGGCGTGGCTCACGCGATGCTTGCGGAATAAAGGGGGGTGGATGGGCTTCTGTTGTGTTGTTGCTCGGTAATTCTCGGACCGTTCTGTCGGGCGGACCTGATGGGCGAGCAAAGGATGATAGACCGTAAGACAATTACGGCCGTGGACGAGAGCGCAAAAGAGAAGATGGGAAGGGGTGTATGGTAGGGGAGATGATGGGTGATAGACGTCGATAGTCTCACTGTTTGACGTCGGAGTGAGCAGATGATCGAGAGGGTACGCAAGCGAGCTTACCGCCAGCCACTGAATCACGGGCGATCAGCAGTCGACTATAGACAGGTTGAAATGTATGGTTGTTGGGGAGATATGGACAGAGGAAAGAAGAGATGCGGTGAATGAAAGAGCTGAAAACACGTAAAGGCAAATATAGTGACGTGAAGCTGCGATGATGCCGCTCCGGTGCATTCGACAAGCTATCTGTCTGCTACCTGCTAGTCCCCGAGGCTAATGCCATGCTATACATATCTATACACCCCATGCATCCCCATACCCCCGCCCACCGCCCGTTCCAGGCTCCACCCCAGCAAATCTTCCGTCTCTGACGTCGGAATCGGAGCGGCACTGGCTGGAACGGCCGCAGCTGCCGCTTCACCTTACGTAACCGTGCCTCTGATGTTGACAGTCAATATGCAATTATTTAGCCGAATGCAGGTCGAATGCGTTGGGACTCTTGGGAGGGAGGTTAGGCGCAAGTCTGGAAGCAGCATGGACACGCCAGGAGTACTTGAGAAGTGCTGATTAGGTAGCTGATGCTTTGGCATAAGGGCGTGATTGAGTTTGCGCATAGTGCTAATAATGTAAGAGCTTGTTGGGATCGACAGATACAGATTGAAGTCAATGTGGGTGGCGCTGCTGTAGGCTCCTTCATAGTGGGCCTAAACTGGCGGTAGGCTGGCTTTGTAGATGGGTTATTGCTCAAGCCTGGAGGATCTCCTACAGCCGAACTCTTGCCCGTAGATCTCTGACGGTCTCCATCCAATCTACATACTGAACAGCACTTCTGGCATCAAGTCGATTCAGCTCGGACCCCCTTCACCTCGGTCAAGACGTGCTCTTTGTGGTCACCGGCAGTAGGGATGAGAACGCGTACGATGAGACTGAACGGAAGCGCTAAATGGAGAAAAGACCAGATGGACACGATATTGATTTCCAAGGAATGCATGGAGTAAATACATAATCCCATATACAAGTCAGTGTACTCAAAACAAAGTACGAGTGTCAGCATCATGTCAGTTCTGGAAATTGCAGCATACGCTCGGAAGCTGTGGACGTCAGTTCTGAATGGTGTCGACGGGTATGAAGTCTTGCTCAGCCCAGCTCCGTCGCCTCCCCTGCACCTTACCACAGACATACCCCAGTCTGACGACCCCCACACCAACGCTTGTCCATCTGTCCCGCCGCGTCATATAGTGCAAGAGCCCCACATATTCTCAAACACTCGTAAAGAGCCTGATAGTCGTGGAAGCCAAATGCATGACGCCAAAAGTAAAGCCCTCCTAGACACCTCTATCCCAACACGAATCCATTAGATGAAACCGATCTACATCAAGGGTTAGCTTTGGGCGAGCGAAGGACGAAGACAGTAGACGTACCTTGTTGGCAACCTCAAGAGCGTCGAAGTCGGCGGTCAAACGGACGTAGGCCTTCTTCTTACCGTCGGGTCTGGGAAAAGTCAGTAAAGACAAGCCAAAAGATGCAAATCAGACATACCGGATAAGGGTGTTGACCTTGGCGGCCTCAACATCGTAGAGCTTCTTAACAGCGTCCTTGATGTTCCTCTTGTTGGCCTTGAGGTCAACGATGAAGACGAGGGTGTTGTGCTCCTCGATCTTCTTCATGGCGCTCTCGGTGTTAAGAGGGTGCTGGATGGTCCTGAATTGGTCCATCCTGGGGAGGTGGGGGATGGCCTTTCGGGGGTACTTGGGAGCACGGGCAAGACGGAGGGTGGTGGGTCGGTGGAAAGAGACGGAGGTCCTGACCTTTCGGACGTTGGTGGACTGGGTACCCTTCAAGGCGGCCTTCTTGGCGGCCTTGGCCTTGACATCCTGGGGCTTAGCAGCGGCTAGGGAAAAGTTAGTTGGAAATTCAATGGGGTGGAAGCTGGGACTAGAGCGCGCTGGGTAGATCGAAATTATGATCGAATCGCGGAGAGCCCTTCCGCCATCTCCACCTCTCCAGCGGCCTGTTTCCCGGAGAGCTCAAGTATCCCGTTCCCTGCCAGCCTTCTCTCCCTGCATAGCTCCTCCGAATTGGCAGATTTGCGGCAGGCAATCCCAGTGCGCTATACCAGTCCCAGATAACGTTGTGCACTCACCCTTGGAACCGGAGGTGGTCTTGGAAGGGGCCATTTTTGGTGTCTGCTGTGTTCTGTTAGCACAAGAAGGATAGCAGCAGATGATTGACTCACGAGCTTGACGGGTGAGACGGACTGTAACTGGCGAAAAACAGCAAAAGCAGCAGGTGCCACGAAGCTCGGCGTTTTGGCAAGCAGTTTCGGTGAGGCGCTCTCTTAATTACATAAGCTTTGAAAAAAAAAACTTATTTGGTCCACTTCAAGTGGCGACACGAAATCGATCCAAGCGGAGATCGCCGCTGGTGTTGTTTTTGGTTTTCGTCATCGGCGTCTCGTCTGCTGAGGCGCGATCCGGGCGGCGGCGGAAGCTGGCGGGGGAGGCGGGGAGCTATGCATGCATCGCAGACAGGGGCAGAGGGCAGCACCGGGCGGTTTTCTGCGAGGCCGGTCCTGGGACGAGAACCGCTGCACGCACAAAGGAAAAGGCAGCAGCAGCGTCACAAAACAAGCGGCCCTGAGTTCCGACATCGTATTTGCCATTTCTACATCTCCATCCTCCCTTCATCCATCTTCATCGACCGCGGATAGTCCTCTCTGTCCTCCAGTCTCTTTCTCTGACCATCCAGGCCCGCCTAATCCACCTCAACCCGCCTCTCGCCTTTTTTTCCTCTTCACCCGGACCGCCCCACAGTCGCCGTCAGCGACTCATTTTTCGGTTCTTTCCCCGACGCTCTTACACCTCAATTTTCCCCCAATAAACATCATTCAACATGGTCAGTATCCATCTCTATTGGCCCTTATGCGCGTGATATCATGCAGGGGGGTCACTTTGTGGTATTTTTTCGCGTCAGAACACGTCGCTGACTGTTCATTGCGCTATCTCTTTTGCCTCCCATTATCCGACCTTTTCGACCGAACCTTACCCCGTGCCCCTCTCCATCATGGAACCATCCTCCCGCGTCCGCCCCTCCTCATGTACAGGGTCAAACACTCTCTGAGCCTAGTCAGTACATGCGTTTCCTGATCCGTATACATGCTGACAGTCTTCTTTCTGCTTACTTTTCACTTCCCTCACCGGCGATCCCCTTTGTCACACGACACCGTTCCATTCAATCTCATCCCCAATGGCCGACACAAATTATTCTACTTTGACGCGTCCTTTCGCGATCGATCGACACTTTTACCCACGGTAAAAATATATGCTTGTTGTCTTTGATGTTTTTACGAATCTACGGAACTTGCTCGAACAGTGACGGAGAAGCACACCACGGATGTCATCCGGGGAAAGCAGTACTGGGTCGGTCTCTCCGACATGCAAGGATGGCGTATCAGTACGTCCCAGTCTCATCCCTGTCCTTCCACCTCTAACCCGTTTGTGTAGGCATGGAAGACGCCCACAGCGTCCACCTCTACCTTCCCCCTGCTTCTGATGACTCAAAACCCATCGTCTCCGCCTCCGATATCCCTCAGCAGCCGGAAGGATCAACAGTCACCAGCAACAACGCCGGAGAGACTGGCAACGCTCTTTTCGGTGTGTTTGACGGACATGGTGGTCAGGCCGTGGCCAAATTCGCGGGATCCACTTTGCATACCAGGCTGGCTGGTCTGCCTGCTTACAGTGCGTCGCCGCCTTCTATAGATAAGCGGGAAGGAAGCTGATTGAAAAGCAGAGGATGGCGATTATGAGGCTGCTTTGAACCAGGCTTTCATCAAGACAGATGAAGACTTGCGTGCGGACCCTTCTTTCTTGAGCGATCCTTCGGGGTGTACCGCTGTGGTCGGACTCATCACCACTGACGGTCGGATCATCTGTGTGAGTCTGATTTTTTCGCATTTGAGGGGCACTGCTGATCGAGATAACAGGCCAACGCTGGTGACTCTCGGTCAGTCCTCGGGTACAAGGGCGAGGCCAAGGCTATGTCCAACGACCACAAGCCCACCAATGCCGGTACGTCCTTCTTCCTACTCATCATCACCCGTTGCTTATGCATCTGTAGAGGAGACTGCCCGAATCACCGCTGGAGGTGGTTTCGTCGATTTCGGCCGAGTCAACGGCAACCTCGCCCTCTCCCGAGCCATGGGCGACTTTGAATTCAAGCAAAACTTTTCCCTCTCCCCCGAAAAGCAGATCGTCACTGTCGTTCCCGAAATAATTACCCACAAACTCGACGGCGAGGAAGAGTTCCTCGTGCTCGCCTGTGATGGTATCTGGGATTGTTTGTCTAGTCAGCAGGTGGTGGACTTTACGAGGAGGGGCATTGCGCAAGGAAAGCCATTGGGTCAGATCTGTGAGGAGATGATGGTCAAGTGTCTGGCCAAGGACAGCAGCACGGGTGGCATCGGGTGTGACAACATGACTGTTGTTGTCGTTGCGCTTCTGAATGGCAGAACACCGGAGGAATGGCAAAACTGGGTCAAGGAGCGAGTTGACAACAAGGGTACGTCGCTTTGATTTTTCTTTTGGTCATATCTCATTGTTTTACAGTTGGCCACGACACCCCCGAATCCATCCCCGATATCTTCCCCGAACCTACCGGCCCTGCCCTGGGCGGCTTTGGTGGCTCTGGCTTCCGTGTCGCTGGCGGTGCCGGCGGTCTTGCCAACATTGCCTCCATCCTTGGTGCTTCCGGTATCACTTTCCGTCCCAACTATGACGATAACGACGATGAAGACGACGACGACGGGCACCTCCAAATCATCGGCGACTCCTCCAACCAGTCGTCAGGCATCAGTTTTTTGGATGACAAGACGGTTGACGAAGAGACAAAGCCCAAGTCTATCACGGGACAGCTCGAGGAAGAAGAAGATGATGTGGTGCTGAGGGGTGTTGGCAAGAAGGGATCAGTGAAGCTTGTGGATGAGGACGGAGACTCTGCTATGGACTCGGACGACTCGGACTTGACCACCACTGGCAACGACCCCTCGCCCCAACCGTCCGCCCCCGCCTCCGTAGCTCACGGCGCTGCCGGCTCCCCTATTCCCCCATCATTCTTCTCTATCGGTTCCCCCACTGTGCCTACCCCTTCAGCTTTGCAGGGCCACCATGCGCAAAAAGAGGAGGAGAAGGTGGAGCAACTGAAGAGCGAGCCGCAGGGTGATGAGGCGTCTGGTGCGGTCAAGGTTGAGGGTTTGATGGACACCAGCGAGTCGCCCCTCAACCTTTGAATTTTGCATTGGTTGAGGTTATGTCTTCTTTCCTTTTCTTTTACTTATACAAGAGTTGTATCGATTGCGATCTAGACTAGAGCACCCAAGGAAGAGAAGAGGAAAATTGTGGAGTTGAGAAGTGTCTGGTTTTCAATTGTGTGCTTATTCTCCTATCTTTGATCTTATATACCCCTTATACGTGTGATCTACACTTGGTGCCCGAGACTTAGAAACGGCTACATAATTATCATGCCTGCTTTCTCCCGCCCAAGTGATCATTACTCTTATATTCCTTCTTCTTTTCTGTTCCTTTCCTTCTTCGTGATCTTCTTTGGCAGCTACAATAGTGGGACCTAGGGAAAACAATGCATTGTATTTGTTTATTCGGTTCATAACATGATGCGTTCAGCTACAAGCCTGTTGTCGACCGAGCACAGTATTTGAATATATAGGTTGTGGTGCAGTGGTGGCGCGCAGGTAGGTCTCCTTTAAGGATTCAGTCCTTCACCAGGTGCATCGGCTTTCGATCATATTGGATTTCAATCGCTGTATACCGGACTGCCTCTGTGTGATTTGTGCTCTTGGCTCGCTTCGATCTAGCGCAGAATATCAGGTGCGTGACAAGATCACCAACAAAGATGTGCACGACTACCGCGGCGGTTTACACGACAGCCCTTTGTGACAGGGTGTCCCGAGCGCTGTACGTTCCCCACAGGTCTTCGACCCGGTGCTGGTATCGCCTTTCTAGCAAAAGATTGAGACAATGGTCTCCTACATAGCACGTTATACTCAATGAAAGATGTGCATCCACTTATCCGCTGTATCGACAGAGAGATTGGTATTCATCTTACCACATACACGAGGTCATCAGACCCTATTCAACATCACCACCAAACTCAAATCGTCTCTCGCCGTTGCCCTTCTGCGGATCCCCATTCTCTCCAAGCTCCCAGATATCCCTTTCCACATAGACAACCTTTCCGTTGTCGTGTACCAGAATGACGGTGGCTGTGCGGGTGCCTTTCCATCTGCCTCGCGAGGAAGAAGAGGCGGATGATGGGATGATGGTCATTTGTGGGGAGAGCTTGACAGGTTGAACTGTTGTGGTGTGTAAGAGGTCGTCATCGGAATGAACAGGGATTGTTGGTCTGCGATTCCATCAGCACCCCTGCTAGATCTCTAGGATTGAAGACTCACGATAATACACCGTACATTCTCTCCACGAGCGCATCCACTCCTTCCTCCTTCTCTTGCCACTCCTTCAACGTCTGGGCCATCCTTCCTTCACCTGATTCCACCTTCGGCCACTTATCGACTGTTGCCAATGGGCCATTTGACAAACCTGTACACCCCCGGTCTTCGCCTGTTGTCCGGGAGAGGTGGTCCAGATTCAAGCTCGCTGGCTTAGGGCGATTTGTCAAGTAGCCCACAGCTGGGGAAGGTAGGGATGGAGAGAGAGAGAAGAGTAGCAAGTTGAAACCTTCGTAATTGCCCGCTGTAGGAAGGTGGGACGAGATGTAGGATTGGACATCTCCTGATGAGGGCGCTTGGGAGGAGGAAGAGGGCAGAAGGAATTCGCGTAGTAGCTTGCCTCGCGAGGGTGGAGGCGATAGAGGCTTGATGCCGTCTTCTGCGGGGTAGCGTACAATGTTCGTGCTTTGGCATTCATGAGCATGGTTGTAAGAAGACAGAGGACAAACTCACAGAAGCCCGACTTTCAGGTCCTTAGAGATCCCTAGCCACGTACCACCCTCCGCCTTTCCCCTGTCCAGTCCCGACAGTACCCTTGCCCCTCCTTGGTCCATGTGTTTCTCTAAAGCAGCCTGAAGAAGCGGCTTGTCGGTGTTGTAGAGGAGAGTCCCGTTCTCTGAAGAAGGGGACGTGGGAGTGAGTGGAGTCGTCGATCCATTGGCAGCAGACAAGGGGGCAAAGTTGTGCCAGTCGGCAGGAAGGGTGGGGCGATCGAGGAACTCATCTCTGTTAAATGCCAGGATACTATATCAAGTGAGCTTGGGCATCGCGGGGAACGGTTAAGAAGAAGTAAGTCTTACAGCTTGAATCCGGGCTGCGCTAGGGTGAAGAATGTGACACACATCTTTGCCAGATTGACGAGTAGAGTGGACAGAGAATCCGTCAAGACCTTGTGTATCTGGGATTATATAGCTGAGTGGCGTGTATGACTCGTGGCAACACCTCGCCAGGGCCGCGCTGGCGAACCAAGAGATTCCAAATTCTCGAGGTCGTGACGAATCCAACCACAAAGGGTTCCAAGTATTCACAAATGGTTGAAAGGACAAATGGTTATACACCTTCTTAATGTGGAGTTGGAGCCTTCGGATGGCAGTCTAAGAAGCGATTGAGAATCCTGGGCCGAGGAAGCAAAGATGGGGACGGGTTGCCGGGGGCGAGAGAGTGATATATTGCAGAAGGGCCCCCGATGAGGCCTTCGAAAGAGTTGGCAGTGATGATTCCTTGAGAGATTTGATGTTTGGAAGAGATGGGATTGGAAAAATCAGCAACCTAGTCAAAAAGAACCTAAGGAACACACGACGGGCTTCCGAAATGACGCGGCGGCCAACACCGATATCCAGGATGTGGTGGTGGAGATGACTTTCTGTAATTGAATGTGCCACTGAGACTGCTCTGAGAAGACGCCATACCAGATATGTACTGTACAAATGCAACATATGCGTGCATCCAACGGTCTCTGCCTGGTCGTCATTCGTTGTCGTCCCTCACCTTCCACTTCAAAGCGTCCAAAGTCGCTTTCGCATCCACCGCTGAACTATGACCCAAGTCAGACGTCCGATCTTGGATAAAGTAGCCCAGTTTCTCTTTCACACTGCATAGCGTCAGCTCAAGCAAGCTATCAGATGATATGGAAGGGAGAGGACGTACATGTCACGCAAAGCTCGCCTGAAAGGTGGCCCTTTGTCATGAGGGAAGACGATGGCGGTATCGATCATCTTGTCGTGCAACAACCTCAAGGCTCGAAGATCATTTTCAAGACTATGAACAGCGATCAGATTATCACAGACTGATCCACAATTTTGAGAAGCTTACCCATGCCCAACAATAACGGTCTCTGGCCCAATGAACATGCACGCCGCTGAGCGGACTGCTGGGAGGTCCATGAGAGCACTGTCGAGCTGACCAGGAGATATACCGGAGAAACGGGTGTTGACATCTCTGTCTCCAACGTCAGTCTGGCCATTTACACTATCAGAGAGGCTGTGACTTGCAGTATTGGCACACTTTGCCGTACCAGTTCATCCAGCAGAATGTTGCCATTCTCGTCTACGATTGTGACTCGACCGAGAGAGAGACCCGCGGTGGTATCTGTCTCGTAATCAGTGCCAATGACCGGCGCTTGCTTGATCCAGCTCACTGATCATCTCACAGTCCATAGCCACGACCCCAAACCCATCTCCCACAATACTCTTCCCATCTCTCTTGCTTTCCTCCGCACACGTTCTCACACTCATGAACCCTTCCCTCCTCGCCAGTGCTTGATCATCTTCTTCCTTGAAGACATGCACCCCATCTTCACACCCTGCTTCACCCCTCTCTTTTCCACAACAAGAGTAGATCCATTTCCGCCGGCCTTCAACGCGTTCTGGAGCCGTCCGGCCGTAGTGATAGCGGCACTCGCCAAACCGCGCTGCGAGGTTCTGAGAGGAGACGGTGAAGGAGATCTTGCATCGATCGCAGTTGTGGGTCTCGCCCTCTCCACTTGGCTTTGATCCTGTACCTTCACCCACAAGCTCAGGATCATCTGGTAATGGATATCCCCACTTGGCAAAATCCTCCTTCTTCAGAAAGTATCTTTCGACTCGGCTCCTTTCCAGCCGCTCACTCTTCTCCTTCTCTGCCTTCTCGCCTTTCTCCCTAGACTCTTTGACAGTTCCCACTGATGGATGGCTCAGAGATGTGGGAGGAGGCCGGCGGGAAATGGACACAGCAGCGTGGTGGATAGCAGTCTTGTAGGTTCTGAGCGAAGACGATGAGGCGGATATCTCATTCTCTTGAGAGAGAGTTGTGTCGTGGGCAAGTGAAGGTTCAAGGTGAATTATAGGGCCATATAGCTTTGAGAACTGAGTAAAGAGGGTGGCGACTATTATATCATCAGCTCAGATCATCCACAAATGATGATCTTGTCTTACGGCCTTTCTGGCGATCGGTACGAGGCTGAGGGGTTACTTTGATGTTTAGTGGTAGATTGGGCGGACGTCCATAATCTGCAGAGGAAGAAGCTCTCGAGGGTATTGAGGACGTGTAAGGTGGAGGCTGCGTACCACCAATTAGCTGCAGACATACATGGAGTATACTCTGAGATTACCTCTGGCGCTGCCGTCAAAGATGTAGACACCGGCACTCCGGGCCTCGAGCTTGGCACGACCTGTTTCTTCGCCCCCGCTCCACCTTCCGCTATTTCCGCATCCATCTTTCGCTTCACTCCAGACGCTTCTGTTACTATCTTGGTCTCCACGTTACGTGGAAGCGCGACGCTCGAGGCCGCTCTTGACGGACCGGAGACAGGGGACACGGCGTGAGCCTGGCCATGGGCGAAGAAGCACCTGGCCCGAGCACACTCTGGGTCTGGGCATTTGGCTGTTGCAAAGAGCCCCAGGTTGGAGAACATGACTTTTGAGGACTTGCTGCGTTGACGAAGTTCCAGGAATCATACAGATGAGATGAAAGAGAGGATAATTTAGAGAAGTCGCTGGACATCCTCCACTTTTCGGCATTCGTGCGTTTTCCGAAAGTTGCTGCTGTCAATTCCTTGTTTGTTTACCTCGATTTCGATATACGACAAAAGGGCATAATGCTTGCCCCTCAAATCACAACACAGTGCTCCAGGACAGCTCTTCGAAGCGCGAGTCGATGCGCTCCTAAGCTTGCTTGGGGCCAGAGCAGTCTTAGATACCAATCATCGACCTCTTCGCCTGCTCCCCCATCTGTCTCCTCAGCAACTCCCAAACCCTCTGACGCCAAAGCCGAGTTCAGACATAACGAGCTCGCTAAAATTATACGTGACACTGTCAAAGTATGCTTATCATCTCCTCAATTCCAAGAGCCTATGTCTGACGGTTGTCTGTAGTCTACGGGGCCGATTCCGATCTCGCAATATATGCAGTTCTGCCTATCACACCCTACTCAAGGCTATTATTCGAAAGGCGATGTGTTTGGTCAGAAAGGAGACTTTATCACGTCTCCAGAGATCAGCCAGATATTTGGCGAGGTGAGTTATCGTCGAGCAGCGAAACGAGGTGCTGATGGATGGGTAAGCTCGTAGCAATTTGGTTCTTGACCAGGTGGATGGAAAAGGGTTCGCCATCACGAGTGCGCATCGTGGAATTGGGGCCTGGACGAGGGACTCTTATGGACGACATCGTTCGGGTGAGTGGGACATGTCTGCATGTGCGTTGGATTCGTGCACAATACTAAGGCTTCTCTAGACACTGTCAAACTTTCCAGGGGTCGCTTCATCTTTGAAGAGCATACATTTGGTGGAGAACAGTCTGGCTATGCGGGAAGTGCAAAGGAAGAAGCTGGAATCGAGAATAGAGGGCAAAGACATCGCTCTGAATTGGTACACTGGTATCAATGAGATTCCAGAAAGTACGTTGTCTCCCCACACTCGTCAACGTGATGACGCCCTGACATGACCTTAGCCGAAGATGAGTACACCTTTTTCGTAGCCCACGAGTTCTTTGACGCCATGCCGATAAACACGTTTGAGAAGACCGACATGGGCTGGCGTGAAGTCCAAGTCACTCACGACCCTTCCTTCGACCCAGAGATCTCGACGCCCTCCGCCCCGTCTGGCCTGCGCTTTGCTCTTTCATCTTCTCCCACTCCGCTTTCGACAATACTCCCCGAGACATCCCCTCGATTCTCAAAGCTACTGAGCGGATCGCGAGTGGAGGTGTCGCAGGATAGTTACAAAATCATGCGCCAACTTGGAGAGATCGTGAACCAGGGCAAGGGAGGCTGCGGGCTGGTCATTGACTATGGTGCCCATAAAGCTTTTTACAACAGTTTCCGCGTATGCCTCCCTTATCACTTGATTACTCATAACGCTGATTCGATTTTAGGCATTCCGAAAGCACGAAATTGTTGACGTTTTCCAAGACCCCGGAAATTGCGATCTCACAGCCAACGTCGACTTTGCTTATCTGGGCGAATCCCTTTCCAATCTTTCTACCCCTCTCGGTCCAATGTCGCAAGCGTCATTCCTTCAGGCCCTCGGCTTCCATCCCCGTTTGGCCAAACTCGTCGAGGCTGCGCCGGAAGAGAGGAGAGAGGAAATTGAGAAGGGCGCGAAGAGGTTGGTAGATCTGTTGGGGATGGGAACGCAGTATCAGGTCATGGGGGTGGTTAGTGGGGTTGAAGAGTTGAAGGAAGGGATCTATCCATTCTCATTGAAGAAGGAGGAGGAGAAGCAGGTTGCGAGTAGGGTGCTGAGGCCGTAGTGCGCATGTGATCATACGTCAATTCGCCGCATGGACAGCCACTCGAGGCGCTGTATCTTTAGCAAAGGCGCTGGAGCATTGGATTCTCTCAATTTCATGGTCTCTATAGTCATCAGCGATCGAGCAAAATGGGACTTGGTGAAGGGTTGAAGTTGAAGGGTGTGTCTGACAATGCGTGTGGCGTAGTTTCCACGTGTGCTCGAGATAATTCCAAGGATGATATCAGCAGGTATAGCACTTACAGAGAGGATCAAGATCAACGAAGACGGTCTCGAGACGAGGTGCGAGAGCACTTGCAGAAGCACAGAGACATACTTCTCCATGGACCTTTCAAACAACTTTCAAGTGGAGGCCGAACTCAACAACAAGGCTGACGTGGCATTTTTGCGCGCACTCAGCCTATCACAGGCTATCGATTCTACGCTTCCCTATACCTCTCAAGCCATCACCACCGCTCGCCACACCCCTTCCCCCGACAGTCTCCCCCTGTTCACAGCCACAATGACCTCCTCCACAACAGCATCCCAAGCAGAGTTGCAGGCCGCCAGGGTTCCTCTGGGTTGGAGAGATCAATGCTCTGCGTGAGTGTACTCAAGTGATACCGTGCATAGGAACGCGAAAGGGGTTGGGTATGGACATCAGGAGAGGAGCTGCCGAATGGAAGGATCAAGGAATGAAGCAAGGGGATCGAAGGGCGACAACTTGAGGAAAGGACGAGAGACTGACCTAGTCCGCGTAGCCTCTTGATCCCTCTCAACGTCTGCCGACACAAGGAACTTTACATGCCATGGAAGTGCGAGGACGAGAGACACGGCTACGAAAACTGTCAATACGACGAGTACGTTGCTTATCGTCCGAGTTTGGGAGAAAGAGAGAGCTCACGAAGATTGCAGCTATGTCCGCCGGATGAAGCTGCTTGTCAAGCAGAAGAAGGAGGCTGCCGAGGCCGCTGCTGATGACGAATAGGTCGTGCATCCAGCAGATCTGTATTATGTGGTGTAAGAGGACTGTATGCATAGGAGACATCTCGGCCAAACCTCAAAACACGCCCGGTTCGACCCCCTGGGCTGAGAACGAGGCGTCTGTGCTAAAATACTGATAATCTAGAGCGGGCCGTGTGACTGGATTTGGCACCACAAAGCCATGCGATACATAATTCGTGATGATACAGATCTAGCAGGTAAGACAACTAATTCACAGCCATTTCTGTCACAAATACTCTACAACCAAAAGTCGATTATTCGATTATACAAGTGAGCTATCCCTTCACTCTTCTCCGCTCCTCCACTTGCCAAAAGGATTTGGCAAAGGCAACCCGGCCGCACCTCTCAATACCTCCCTCCCGAGGACCGCCCCCATACCCAGCCCCATACTTCCTCTCTTCTCCGGACTCCCCCTGACGCCCGCGCTTGGGCTCAGACTACCACTTCGACTCATACCCGCCCCCTCCGGAATGACCGACCACTCTTCTTCGTCCCCTCCCGCACCCAAAAGCGAACTGATACTAGCCCTGCGCGGAGAGGCAGTGTGCGAAAAAGAGGACGAATGAGATTTGGAATGGGAACGGGAGTGAGATCGAGAGCGAGAACGGATGTTCTTGGACAAATCGGGAGACGTGAGAGGGTGGAGGAGGGAAGAGACTCGGTTTAGATTATCCTCCTTGTCGTCTACGGCCGACGCGGGAGGAGGCTTGATAATCGACTTGGCGTATTCCTGCGCATATACTAATCAGTCCCAGCGCCAGAAAAAACACCTGTAGGAAGACGACTCACCAAATCCCGATAGATCGCCTCTATAGCTCTAGCCACTCCATTCTCCCTTCTCACCACTTCCCCAACATCTTTCGCTTTCGCTATCTGCTTCTCGTCACTCGTCGCTTTCACAAGCGCTTTGGCCAATTGTTCAGAATCGAGTTTTCGGATGGCGGAACCAACGTTGAGAGACTCGACACGCTCGGCCCAAAAGGCTTGGTCGCCAAAGAAGGGTTTGATGATTGTAGGCTAGTCAAAATCAGTCAGAAAGAAGCTACGTGCTTTATACAACAAGACTTACGATACCAGCCCGCAAGCTCGCGCCCGTGGTACCAGCTCCACCGTGATGGCAAGCTGCATCAATCTTCGGGAACAACCATCCATGATCAATTGAGTCAATCGCGCTATGGTTCACAGTCAGCCTTCCAAATCCACTCGTCACCTTCAAGGCTACTTACAAGATCTCTGGAGGGTATTTGACTCCATCGGCACCCTCAGCCCCGCCACTTGGCTCTCCTCGTGCTTTTGTGCCTCTATCGGACCAGCCCTTCGAAAGGATAGCGTGAACGCCACTGCTGATAACAGCCTCTACGACGCAGCGAGTCATCTCTTCAGGATCGGAGACGACTATAGAGCCAAAGCCACTGGAAGGTCATCGTCAGTTGACAGCTCACATACATAGACCACAATGGCTCACATATACACCACCTTCTTCCCGTTCGCATGTGCCCCGTCGATGAACTCGACCAAACCATCCGGGGGACACCATTTCTTCTCCGTGTCTCCTTCTTTCTCATCCGGTTTATCCAAGAACCAATACCCCGTCACATGTATCCACTCTGTCCAATCCAACGGCGCAGGGACGACAGTCGGTGAAAAGTTGTACAAGAACGGTACTTTGTGCTGCTCCATCTTGTCAAAGGTGGTGTTATCGAGGGAGAGTTCGTGTCGGCGCCAGCGATTGATTTGGGAGGAGATGGCGCGCCAGAAAACTTGGTCAAACATGGTGTATGTCATGTAGTTGTAGGAGCCTCCGCGGCGACTTTCCGGGACGGCGAAAGCGTGCTGGCAATGGTCGTCAGTACATGCGACACAGATGTCCCACAGACAAGAGGGGTCACTCACAGGGTATGCTCGTGTCCTCGTCCAGGGCATTGTGAACGCTCGGTAGTAGGGAATTCGCAACGCCTCGGCAATATGGAATCCGCTCATAGCACTCGGAGACTCGATAAGTAGGTCCGACCCTTGGCATGCTTGCCAGGAAGAGTTGAGCAGATCATCAAGCCAACCACGGAACTGGCGACATGTCAGCGAAATGTTGGAAATTCCATAATGAGAACTCACCTTTTGCAAGCCTTCCTTGAGGAAGGAGACAGTAAACATGCCATTATCAACACACATCTGCATGAGCTCTGCCGGATCGCCACCAACACTCTCAAATTCAATCCCGTGCTGGAAAGCGTCAGTCTCGAAGTGGGCAGGTAAACATAGGCAAACTTACGCCTTCCACCCAGTCTTTGTACTCCCCGTGTGTCGCGATCTTCGTTCGGTGGCCTTCCGCCTGTAGCCCCTTGCACAAGGCGATATACGGCTGCACATCTCCCCGACTCCCAATTGTCAGGCACGTGATCCTCATCGACTCCGGCTTAAACTCCAAGAACGAAGTTGACGTCGCTGACCCGAACATCGGCGAGGGTGAGCTCATACCGCTGCCTAAAGGCGTCCCGGCTTCGATTGGATGAGACTCGTCCAAATCTTCCATGATATGCGCTTTGATCCGGTTCTGGTCTGGAGGGGTCTGGCCCGAGGAGACGGATAGGCGGACAGTCTCCATGCGTTCTTCGAGGATAGAGATACAGGCTTTTCGTCGGTCGGAGTTGGAGAATTCGAGGAAGAGCTCTTCGTGGCCTTTGATCACGATGATGAGGCCCGAGTGGCCGAATCGGAAAGCCTTCTGGGCCTTGAGGCCGTACAAGTCCCGAATGGGGATGATCATCTGATGAACGTTAGTGTTGAGCACATTCAAGTCTGAACTGAACTTGCCTTGGTCTTGTAGAGGAGCTGTGATGATCGGAAACAAAAGTAGTTGGTGGACACAAAGAATCTTCCTGATATAGGCAATACTCTATATAGATACCCCGGAAAGTCTGCATTGCTTTTAGCATACCAGACCTGCAGATATACCCAGAACTTACGATCTAATAGCTCCTCTTTCTCACTCAACGCAAAGAACGACCTAAACTTCTTCACCATCTCCGCACTTTCGCTGTGGCCATTGTCTGAACCCAACATGGAAAAGTCGGATCTGCTATGAACCATCTGACTCCCGGTAGATGATTCTGACGTCCATGATGATCGCGATGCCCTCTTTTCAGCGGCGCTTTGGAAGCTACTGTTTCGAGAAGTATGACCAGTAAACTCATCATCACTTCCTTCGTCCTCTGTGTCATGAAGGAGGTCTCTGAGAGGCGCCTCTACGACCTCCGTGACAGAGTGCTGTTTCCCTCTCCCCAGCCTCGCCCTTGGGCCCTCCACGACAGTCGTAAGACTATCTGTCGGAGATCTTCCCAGGTACGAAGAGATTGACCCGCTAGGGGAGCTTCCAAAGATCTTGGCAGCGGGCTTGCGGATCCAAGATGGGCCCCAGGTAGATTTATCTTCGAGCATGGAGGCAGGAGGTGGGCCGACTTGGGCTGGAGGGTAACCGTCAAAGCTTGTGCCGGTGGTGTCGGAGGTACTTTGGCTGGGCGCGTCTTCTTGAGATGCTGCTTCTTCGTCCCCGGTCTTAGAGACCAGAGGCTTCAAGACAGAACTCAACTTCTTGATAGGTTGAGGGAGGCTTTCAGTCGGTGAGGGAGAAGCCGGCTTATCGACAAGGGTTTTGAGCGTAGCATAGCTCGTGTCGAGTGACTCTTGGCCGACAGTGATAGTGGCAGCGGAGGAGATCCGAGGAATGTCTGCAGACGATGTGCGAGATATATCGGGCGAACGATCTCGAATCAGCTGTGAGAGGATCTCGAAAGCGTAATCGTTGTCAGGAAAAGATGCGAAAAAGTAGCTGTCTATCGACATCTTATCTTCTGCGTCCATACATTTGACCTGCTCGTGATCAGTATGTTGTTGTTGCAGTGGAGCCTCATCCGCAGACTTACTTCGATAGTCTCGGCAAACTCCAAAGTCGGGCTTTTCTCGACATCAATCACCGCCTGAAAAGGTATAATGACCTTGATTGTCTCCCCCTCATGTTGCAGCTTGAACATCACCTTCTTCACAACCTTTACCCACTCATCCCTTCCTCCCTCAGTATCGGCTGTGAACGTGTAGCTCCTCTCCGCTGTCCGTATTTTGAATTTTGTGTCTCGCACAGGATCGACCGAGATACAGTATTGGAGCGAGATGTTGCCTTTGGGAAAGTAGGGGTCGGAGGTGGATTCGTACCAGGAGAGTACGTCGTTCTTGAGGACGACCCAAAACTTGGTATTCAGTTTTGTGCGGGAGGCTTTCTTGTAGAGGGGGCCCGATTTAACGAGGAGATTCTGCAGCTTTGTTAGATGCGGTTCAAGTGAAGACATATAAGACGCACGTTTTCATCTGGCATGTTGGCGAAAAAGCAGATGTGGCGTTTGGTGAGGTACATGTAGCCCTTGAGCACTGCAGCGTGTCAGTTCTTTCCAAGGCCCGTAGTAGAAGCCACTTACTGACACACCTCAACAGCCAACACTTCATCTCCGCCAAGACCTCCTCCCTCTCCTCCAGCCCAAAGACCTCCATCAGCCTCTCCGCCAGTCGCTCTTTCCGCATCAGCCTCTTCTCCGACTCGTCTGTTTCGAGTGACTCGGCAATCACGTCTTCTCCTTCATGGTTTTCCTCTCTGAGGGCAGCGGCAGTGTTGAGATCCTGTAGCGAGCCTCGCGTGCTGAGGGCAGCGGCAGCGTTGAGATCCTGTAGCGAGCCTCGCGTGCTGATAGCTTTGCCAAGCTCAATCTCGCTCACGCCTTCTTCTCTTGCTGTTTCGAGCATTTCTACCCTCTCTTCCTCATCCGCGATCCCTTGCTCTTGCGTGATCCTCGCATTGAGCATGTCCGCCTCCTCCCCGGTTATCGACCCTACACTGCTATCACTACTTTCCCTCTTGCTCTGCTTGAAACCCTTCGGTAAGGGTACCTCCCCATCAGAGCTTACTTCGCTCGCTATGCTTCCTTGACGCTCATGGCCGGAGCGAGGAGGAGAAGCGGCAAATTGATAGTCGAGCTCGGTGGTACCGGGACGCCGAGCTTTGCGCG